GTTTAGTGAAGGCCACGTAGCAAAAATCAGTACATACACCACAGATATGATTTCGTTGTCTAACCAAGCCCTTTGAAACATCTTTACTTAAAAGTGTAATAGCTGATTTAAGGTGAAGATACACAGTTAGTACAAAAGTTTATCACTTAGGGCACAAAACTGTATCTATCTACATAAATCTGTGTCATCGTAAATGATGGCCGATATGTCTTTATCCACCTTTTCAACAAAATTTGTCAACTGTGTACTAAATCGTATTGCGATACATATTTAACTTCAAAGAGCGTTTAAATGTGTACAATAGCACATTAAGTCCGGCAAAGTGTTTTTAAATGTAAGACTTTTTGCCCTCATTCGGAATATTTCAGAATTATTTGTGCTAAAGTACAATGCCGAAAGAAAACATTGTACAATAGCACATTAAGTCCGGCAAAGTGTTTTTAAATGTAAGACTTTTTGCCCTCATTCGGAATATTTCAGAATTATTTGTGCTAAAGTACAATGCCGAAAGAAAACATTGATATATAGTTATCTCATTTCCCCTGTGTTACTGAATTCAGTGTTTCTTTATAAACATTGGCTGCAGGCAACTAGGCCTATATGGAGAAGCTGTTTCGGTACGTTTGGCCCAAGTTGCTATTAAGGATATACCGCGTCACTCATGCGCAGATTTTTTAAAGTATAGACTAAAAAGTAAGAAAAATACTAATATATCATCTGGTATATAAAAATTCCAAGATGGATGCTTCTGATCAGTAAATTTAACATTTCTTCGTTACAAATATATTTGTTTTTATTTTTTTAGATGGAAATTAGGTTTTTAATTTTTAGATGAAACTTTTTCATATTCTTATCAATTTTTCAATAAAATGATTATTTTGACAACTTCAATGTAAAATGAAAGCATTAATGTTTATAAATCTCTAAATGTATTATCCTGACTATCAAATATAGTAATTTTACAACAAATTAATATTTTTTTTTGCAAACTTTAAGTGAAAATTAGTTGTGTTATTTTTAGGTGAAAATGGTACATAATTTCAGTTCATGGAAATTTCGCTGTACATGTAACCATGATATCAATGTACGTGTATCGATGAGTCATTAAGACGGACTGTTATTTAAATAAAGTAAAAAGTCCCATTGTTTTTCCTATCAAAGTACTCTACTTTTACTTCGAAGTAAAGGATTTCATATGTAATTAACTAAATTGATGATAAATTTACGAACATTTCCACATAGCGACAAAGTTATAACCAAAACATAGTCTTCAGTATGTGAATATCAACAATCAACGGAGTTTATTTATTTTAATGCCTTAGTTGTTCTGTTTTGTTTGCTAGTTTTTGTTTTTTTTGTTTTGTATTTGTTTTGTTTTTTGTTTTTAATTTTTAATAAGCTTGACTCTAAACATTTCGTTCGTATATATACAATGGAATTTCAAAGGTATATGTAGAATTCACGACTGACATTTCTAACACCGGTGTGAACATATACTTATCGATTCAGTAAAAAAACAATAATGACGAATCATGCAAGCGTTATTGTACAATATATATATACTATGTAGACGTTGAAACTTACATGTACAATCACTAATAACGAGAACAGACCGAGACATTCAATTTTGATTTCGTTTTATCTGTGTTCAGAATGCTTCCCGATACTTTCGGGAATTTTAAAGAGGTCGGACGAGACGTCCATGTAATACAATAATTGATATAAGAGCTATTCGGTTAGATTTTCAGAAAAAATGTGTACGGAAGTGATAACGCACAAGTCATGGCTAATTACTTTGTTGTCTGTAAACATTGTTTGTTTTTCAATTGTTTCTCAGTCAATATCCATGTTTCTTTGAATAATTTGTAGAATCAGTTTCTTGTCAATAACTTCAGAATTACACGGTACCCTGTGACCATTGGGTAATGGAATTATTGATAATTGTTGAACTTTGCAAGGTTATATAAAACATCTTCTCACGCAAAATTTATTTCACATCACACTTAAATGAAAATACAGTCATGTACACACATATTTGTTCGTATACCTATATAAATATGGAGAGGGATAATGTGTAATTCAAGTAAGATCTAAATTTTTATACCCCCTCCCATGAACCAATGTTCTTTACACAGCTCATATTCAGGCCTCTACGCCACCACAAAGTGCCATACATACCACTTGGCTCGTTATCATTAGGTTTACCTTTACCCTGGACAAAGATAATAACTGATTAACGCCTCAGGGCGATTAAATTCCACACCTCAGCAGCAGGCCCTTTTTATCAGCACCCCCATCCCTCCTATCAGAGATGACATTCAAAATTTCAATATTGCTTCATTGATTTAATTATGTAAGTAAACCACGAATTATCACGTGGTACCTTTCCCTACCCAATCAGACATGACCAAACAGAGACATTTAGCTTTCAGATTCAAAATTACAAATAGACATTTTGCCCAGTGACGTATTACACAAGGATAGTGAATGCTTTTTTTGGTGTTAGCTTTTATGTTCGTTCATTGAGCCGGAAAGACCTTTCCTTTGCCTTCATTTACTACAAAAGGTATGTTGTCTTTGCACTGACCGACCTGACCAGAGGCAATTTGTTGGCCAGTGGAAAAGGAATCTCATTTCCGTATCAAAAATAGTAGCAATAAATCAAACTGATGAATCATAAAATTATATTGGTCAAACGAAAAATTATTGAGATTTTTAGTGCCACGCAAATTACTTTCTTCAATAAAAGATAATATATCAGTTGTGAATAGCTCCAACACACGTTTTTTGTTTTGATTTTTTCTTTTTTTTTTTTGTTTAAACATAAAGTTAACAGAAAGTATTTGTCATAAATTAATTTGAAAATTGAGATTTGTACTGTACTGTTTTTCAAAAGATTAGTTAGGAACTTTTGCAGGAAAATGCTATTATATAAAAACAGCAAGATTAACAGAATTTATTTGACACAGTATTTCTATTCAATATATTTCACAATACAATCATCGTACAGAAAATATCAATTTATACGTTATAATTAGCACGTTTCGAGACGATCATAATTATCAGATATTACTTGTAGAATTGATTTTTTATTTAATAATCATTTTATTGCAGAAAGTTCGTACAATAGTAGTGGGCACAGGTTTTACCAACTTATAAAGCCCTCTCCAAAACAAAGGTTATACACCAATACTTAAACTGCAAGCAAAGTAACAATATATATAATTTTTTTATTGAAATATAAGGGAAGGACTGAAGAGAAGGAAGGAGGGTAGGTAAGGAAGGAAAAAGGGGGTATATAGTACAAATGAGGAAAGGTGGGGAATGCAGATAACTAGCCAAATCGCTAAGATGCACCAAAAAATTTTTGAACAGCTCTAGCTAAAAGCGAGTTTTCAGCTGAACTTAGCCTTACGCCTCCGTTTATAAGAACGTTTATCGAAATATCACCCGGATACCACGACAGTTCGGTAAATAGGGTGTTACGAATTTGTATATAGTTGGTACAGTGAAGTAAGTAATGAAATGAGTCTTCGGAGGGATGTCCGCAGGAGCAAGATGCAGAGTTCGTGAGATTAGCTCTGAATAGGTTATAATTGAGTGAGCTTGCTCTATTTCTCAAACGACGAATATTTAGCTTACGAGGGCCATATGATAAATAGCACGATTTAAGCTTGTTGGTGCTTCTTGTACATAGTTTGGTTTTAAACAAATTCAGTGAATCAACAGTTGTTAGAGACTCATCTAATCCATTCCAGAGATAAGTTGTAGAAGGGAAAAATGATTTACACATAGACTGAAGACGGTATGTTGGCTGTCGTACCTGATTTGCGTTTCTTAAGTTATACCTAGTGAGATTGCCAATATGTTCAGGAAGAAAATCAGTGAGGAAAGATGTTGCAGTCCCGTTAATCATAGTATAAAAAATGGACAACTTACGATGTTGACGTCTTAATTTAAGTTCTTCCCAATCCGTTTCTCTTAATAGTAAGCCAGATCTAGTATACATGTATATGAGTAAACCAGTCACAATTTGGGCTGCATCTAGTTGGATTTTTTTTCGATATTTGATGACATAGTAACTCCACAATTATCCCATACTTCGCAAGCATATTCTAATAATGGCCTTATGTATGCGAGATGCATTTTTTACAAAGTGTTTCTGTTAAGAATTAATTTTAACCTATACCCTTCTACTAATTTCTTCTACATGTTTATTCCATGTTCAGTCACTACTCAGTACGACTCCTAGATGTTTGTGTTGATCTGTAAGTTCAATATACGTATTGTTAAAAATAAAGTGGGGTTGGTTTTCAAGTTGTGTGTTTGTTATTATCGTTATTTCTGATTTGTATGGATGAAAAGACATCAGCCAATCTTTCGACCATTTTCCTAATTTTCTCAGATCACTATTAACTGCTAATTCTATGTCACCTATATTTCGAGAAGAGTAGGAGAGTGACGTGTCGTCAGCAAACAAGCGTGATAAAGATGTCAGTTCTGTATAGATATCATTCATATACATTAGGAAAAGTAGGGGCCCTAGTACCAACCCTTGTGGAACTCCTGCAGCGGTAGAATTCACACTTGTAGAAGTGGATACAAATCATTTATTTGAACAAGTTTGATGTCATTTCATCCTAGGATGATAATGACATGATTAATATGAAAACTGTCATGACCTCCAGGTCATTAGGAAGATAGTTTTTCATCCTAGCATGTTTCTGGTGCAGTATGGTAAGACTTACGACCTCTTGGTTATTGAGAAGTTGTTCAAGATTTAAACACTTGTGACTGATGTGTGACACGGGTCGATATCATTTGCGTGATAAACTTCGCAGCCTAATGCTTATTGGACAAGTGCCTCTACAATTTAAGCAATAATCAAACTATTGAATGCACTTGCATGCACGAATCATGAAGGTACGGAAGCGTATTCCGGCCAAGGTGTGGTCTTCTCTCCACTTCGTGCCCGAAAAGAAAACTCAAACCCGCAAATACTCATTTGCCGTACTAGCCCGTCACGAATTAGTGCAGTAGGCGTTTAATAATACATGGTGTAGAAAATACATTGTACGTACGAATCTCACTCCGACAGACGTGACGCAAACGTCCCTAACGCACACACTCCTCACCCACGAGAGCGTCCTAGACACTCCATACTCACCTCCCATCACAGAATGTATCGCGCGCCCAGGAAAAACCGGAGATAATCCCCGGAAACCTGTGTCCAACGGGGCTGGAATCGATTACCTCCAATTGCAATACGTTCTCCGGGCCGACACAAGGACCGGTGTCGAAAAAAAAAAAAAAAAAAATAATAAAAACAATCGTTCTACCGGAGCGCCACTAACACAATATCAGCCAATCACACTCCCACTAAGCATACCCAGACTTCCAGATTTCCTCGCCAGGAATGCAAGCATAAAATAGCAAGACTAGAAAACGGAGCAAACCAACTACATATAATAATACTGATAGGCACACTAACTAACTAAATTAACTGGACTGCACTGCTAGACGGAGAGCTAGAGAATGACTATTCACCCGCGCACCCACCCTTACCTGGGCATACGCACGTGCTCTACGTGCCTGAGAAGACGAACTATTCCCGCTATACTACCGAAACGCGGGAATATTTAAGTCTTCTCTCCACTTCGTGCCCGAAAAGAAAACTCAAACCCGCAAATACTCATTTGCCGTACTAGCCCGTCACGAATTAGAGAATTAACAAAGAAAGGGCAAGGGGGTTGTGGTTGGGGAATACCTAACCGCCTTTGAATAATTGATCAAATAACCATATTAATTACAAACCTAACTTCTGTGTTACCAGTAAACGAGACTCCAAAGAGTCAGCGACATAACCATCCTTGCTAGATTCGCCTTTCCAGCGGCCATGCCTCCTGAAACATCGATCGTTCACTCCGTTGTTGGCGGCCACTGTGGCGCCCCCTGCTCTGAGCGAGTGTAAACCAAAATTTGTATCATTGGAAACTAGTTTCAACCTTTTCATGACAGCTTGCCTAGCCCCTGTGTAACTAAGTGGCTTATTTTTGTTAATAAGCTTACAACCCTGACCGGAACGATAAACTTGCTTAAACAAAAAATGATCCGAACTTAAGTCAATTTTTGATAACTCAACATACCTTGATAACATGGTGTACGGACAAGCTACAGTCGAACCTTTACTGATGACCACTTGACTACCAAAGCGATATTTGTCTGTTTTACTTTTCCTGATATTGAGCGTTAAATGCCCCTCGAAAAACTGAACATCAGAGCAACGCAAACTACTGAGCTCGTTAAAACGTAAAAAACCGGAAAACCCTAACAAAATCATGGCAAGATCTCTCACTACCAACAAGTCATTCTCATTCAAAAACATTCCACACAAATTGATCAAAATGTCAGTCGTGACCGGTTCCTTTTTGCAAACAGGATTTTTAGCCTCTCGTTTGGAAAATTCAATTAAGTTCTGTACGAATGAGTTTGTTGTAGGGTCGATGTGTCCGTTAAGATTGTGCACCCATTTGATAGCATATACTGCAGACGACACCACTGCGTAAGTCCCTCCCTTTTCCAATAAAGAATTTAAATATAATGCCACGTGTATGGGATTTGCCGGGATAGACGAAAAACCATGTCCGGAAATGAAATGTTCCCATTTCGCGAAAGCTCCATAGTACTTGGTGCCTGTGTTGACACTCCTGCTTAGTAAAAGTCTGCCAGCCATACCCTCGGTCAGAGCGTGCAGATCGGAACCCTCCGTTACCCCAGAAGCTTTGACGGCATCGCTGATCGACTTCCTCAGTCCTATGCCTGTAACAATAAACACAGTAAAACAATGCTCAGTATGGTATGAACATGTGTAAGTTTTCAATGTCTAAAGTCTAACCGGAGGGCCAACATGTCGAAACCCAAAATACTGGCTCCGAAACATCCATTGTTCCCCCTCCCCCTCAGTGTGACTTTTCTACTGGGCAGTATACGATAATCTACTATGAAAGAATCGAAAGCCCCATCCTTAGGACACAATAAGTGCCAGTATGCCGCGCTCCTCCAATGGGGGACAATTATGGTCCCATAAGCTCCTTCGTCCCTCATTTTGCTAACCACACCGCAAACGAGTCTAGGGGGAGGTACTAACCAGTTGTTGACTCCCTGCCATCTTACCGTGAAAGCATCGACTGCCTCTGTACCCGGGCACCACCACTTGGAATTAAAACGCACACATTTGCTGTTATAATCTGTCGCGAACCGGTCGATTTGATGTGGACCCCATAATAACTGACACTCCTCAAAAACCCATGACTGCACCGACCAATCGTCACAGTCTTTACATCTACTCAAGTAATCGGCGGTACTGTTACTAATCCTTGGTAGCCACTGTGTACTAACGCCCGTGTTATTATAATCCAACACCTCGTTAATCTCACGTGCGACCCTCTGTAGGTCTGGCTTCCTGCTACCAGTTTTCACTATGGAACAAACGTTTCTGTTATCTGTTAACAGTTTTACCTGCTTACCTTTGACCATATCGACCTTAGCCAACAACACCCTTTTGACTGCTTCTAACTCTCTCCAAGTTGAGCTATACCTTTTCTCCCGTTCATCCCATGTTCCCAACGCGACATGTTTATCCATGTGGTAAAGATCCCTTACTGTAGGAAGAGAGCGATCCAAAACGCTTACCTCGCTGCCCTGCAGACCGATCACGTCACTCACTGGGCCACCTACTAGTCCTCCCGTGGGACTAATACTGCTACCGTAGCAAAACCCGGGTCTCGGAGACCCCCTAACACCCTGGGTGCTGTTGCATTGACCAAGAAACTCGAACGTTTGACCCCATTTTGTTCCATCATGATCATGGCCTAAATATATCCGGGGTCGGACCTCACAAGCCCCCTGGGGGTGTTGAAAAACATCTGTACCATGTACCGTTACAAAGTCCCCCTGGGGGATTACACCTTGGTAACATTTGCTTGCACCTGTCTCGATACTGTTTGTATCGTGTATGTATGTGCACCCGTTGACACCTTGCGTCACTCCAACATGCTCACACCTGCCTGATGTGTCCACATATTGAACATAACCCCCGTATCCCTCACCGGATGCATCAGTACAAAGTATGGCGTCACAGACTAGGTGTTGCTTTAACTGTGAACCCTTATCGTTCAGTGCCTTTACGTTAGACAACCAAAATTGGATCTCGTCTAGAGCTCCCGACGTGAGCAAAACACGCGCATTCCAACTGGCTCTAGCCAATACACACCTGTACAACTCCCGTGTACGTAGTCTAGCCACGTGACCGACAACACCTTGCATTGATATGACCTGACCTACTATGCCCGCTATGTACCTGGCCGAGAGCAAAGGCAGGTCTTTCTGTTTGACATGTGTCATCGTATTGGTCAGCCAATACAAAAGCCGCTCGACACGACCCGACGTGACCCTGACCACGCCTTCTCCCATCGACCACGTGTAACCTAACCACGTGACATGCTGGGAAGCTACCCAATTGGACTTCTCCTCGGCTATGAGAAAACCGTAATCGATCAATGCCTGTCTGACATACCTACTGGACTCGTTAGCCCCGCCCTCTGTCTCGTGACCTCCAATACCGTCGTCCAAATACATGACCAATTTGTGACCTAATAAACGGATAGATTTGACCACCTCCCTTAGAACCTTGGTAAACACGTAACCAGCAGTAGAGATACCAAACGGTAACACATTGAAAACAAACTGGCGTGTTTTGCCTTCCACTTCAAACTCAAAACCGAGAAATTGCCTGTGCTCTTCAAAAATTTCGATATGGTGGTAAGCAGACTTCAAATCAAAAGTGAACAAAAAATCTCCTGGCTGGAAAACATCCCGTGCTACCCTTGCATCGTCGTATTTAAACTTGAATTTATGCAAAAAAGGGTTTATGTGCCTGCAATCCAAAACTAGGCGGGGCTTACCTGATTGATTGAAAGCTACAGTGAGCGGATTTATGACCGCGGGCTCTGACGAAACTTCCGACACACAACCTAACCGTAAAAGCTTAGTTATCTCCCCCACGACAAAATCGGGGTTATCTTTTGCGGTTTTGTTATTTGACAAAGACACCCTTGGTGGAATTTCGTGAAAAGGAATTTTATAACCTCTCTCGATGATAGATTGTACTACTTCAATGGTACCTTGGTCTGCCCAATACTGGCTCTTACCCTTCAAGCGCCCCACTGGCGAAGTATCACATGTGACACGTGGAGCGTCCTGTGTCGCCCCTACCTTACCTGCGTCCTGCTTCGCCGATACTTTTTCATGCATATCAAATAAAGAACCACTTATCTTATATCCGGATACAGCCGAGGCGACTCCTTTGATTTCCGGACACTCTTGTCGCCAATGTCCGGCCTTTCCACACCCAAAGCATGTACCGGGCTTGGTCCCGCCCCGTGGGAAAGGACCTGTTCTGTCGGTCGTAGTAGCGGCGTTTGTCTGGCTCCTGGACACAAAAGTCTCTCTTTGATAAGGGTTGAAACGCTGTCTTCCCCTGCTGGACTTTAACTTTTCCGCCTTTGCCTTTTTAACTGCCTTGGAGCTGGCCCTGTCGATTTTCCTTTCATCGTCGGAGTCCGACGCTATAGGATTTGCTACATACTCATCGACGGTTTTCCAGCCTGCTTCAGAACTGTCCGCCAACTTAATTAGCTTGTTGCGATAGTCTATAAGCGACATACCCTCCTGTATCTTAAGCCTGGCGGTGTCCATGTCCGTACTGACGGCCTGCGCGGCGTCCAATAATTTCCCGCGCACTTTGGTATTGAACTTGTACTGTTCCTCGCAACTTCTCTTTTTGAATTTGTAGGTATCCGTACACTGAATTGTTTCTTGTATCTTGTTTAAAGATGCCTCAGAATTTTCACACATTTTTCTCTCAAACGAGCTCAACTTTTGTGAAATTAATGTATCCAAATGCCCGAGTATTTCGTTTTGTGACTTTCCAACCGCAGCCTGTATCTGGTCCGACAGTGTGCATAATGAATCGTTCTGCATGGTAGAAACTATGATACTATATATATGATAGAGACATTAACTGGACTGCACTGCTAGACGGAGAGCTAGAGAATGACTATTCACCCGCGCACCCACCCTTACCTGGGCATACGCACGTGCTCTACGTGCCTGAGAAGACGAACTATTCCCGCTATACTACCGAAACGCGGGACTATTTCTTTCGGTCAGTGGGTTCAGGATTTCAGGGTTTTCTGCAACCCATGACCTCTGTAACCCTTGCTCCTACCACAGTACATTGGTACAGTGTTGGTTTCTTTTTTTATCCTCCCCTATCCCAAACACACAGACTCTTACTTTCACCCATATGCAAAGACTCATAAAAACTAAGAACTGGTATGTGATGGTAGAGACATGAATGGGTTTAAATTTCATTCAGCACATTTAGCAACACCGACCAAAATACACAAGTGTATGTTAAGTGTAGACATTGATGTGTCTGGGATACAAGAAGCATTGTTGTAAAATAGCAGTAATATAAGTAGGTAGGTAAGGATGATGACTGATAGAGAACTATCTCCACTGCCAGGTCTCATTGGTAACTAGAACTCACATCAAAAAGACTTCACCTCAGTATATATCAACCATACAAATGAACATGACTGTTTTTCTTTAGTCTGAAATATCACAAGTTTCAATGACAGCCTAAACTAAGATTGGTTATTGATAAAGCCTCTATTGATAAAGTGTTTGTTACATTATAACTAGGAATACAATTTCTTATGAATTCAGGCTATCAAGTGATTCATTTTTCCCTATTCAGAGTGAGAAAGAGTAATATTCCTGTGATTTAATTCTATATAAGTTTTATTAATTTTTTTTTTTTTTTTTTTGAGAAGTATTGAGTTTTTATATTGAATGGCTATCCTTCGTTTGTGGAATGCTTGTTTAAATATGTTTATTGTTAACGACTGCTGGTGCCCTTTGTAATTGATTTTGTTCTTTGTGAAACAATCATTTGTGCTTAACTAACTGTTGCATGTTTGTACTATATTCTGATATCAAAGTCCTATTTAACAAGTTAGAAGCAAAATGATTTTTAAAAAAAAAATAATGTGTCCAACAGTTTGACGTTGAGGAGAAATAATAGCCATTACCATTACCTAATGTCGGTTGTAATGAGATCTGCCCCGAGAAATGATTTTTTCACTTGTCATTGTAAGAAGTCTTTGTCATGGAGAGTCATTTTCAAATTCAAGGATTTATTGTGATAAAAAAGGGTGGTATGGAGATGGAGAGGACTTTTAGCTGGTAGCTATGGCGGGTGTTGTTTTTCTCTACAGGAAGTAGATGAAGGTTATCAAGATTCACTTAGTCTATCAAATCAGTTTTTACAAGATGTCCTTAAGAACTGAAATTTTGACCTTTAACGCTTCAAGTCAGAATGTAAAGAAAGATCTCATTAAAAAGGAAATGTGATCTAGTAAGAATTTGAACAAGAGTTAGAATGATCAAGATTAGAGTCGTAGTTAAGGAGCTTACCTCTATATAGGTATTTGGTAAACAAGGCTATCATATGTAAAAAGTTGAATTTTTTTAAAACACATCAAAGTAAAAATAAGTATCTTATTAGGTGAATGTTATCACAATAAAGATTGGTTTATGTAATCTAGTTATTATTTTCTTAATCTTTGCTGCTGTTACCAGTCAAGCATGACCTCAAAAACAATTTTGATAATTTTCACTTGTTTAACCATTTTGATGGCAAATGAAATTGGATAGCGTTGAGAAGTATTTAGCTGTTCGTGGATGACTTGACAGTTAACGCTATCATTGTGGTTACTGGGGTTTGACAAACTGTTAACTAATAATAAATAAAAACATGTTGTATTATGTTGTCAGGCAATATACAACATTGTCTGCTCACAAACAGGATGTTGTTTCCATTCAATAGCTGTTTGTTGATGGCAATATCATTAAACAGCAGTGATCAGCACTCAGTATATTCCTACCACCACTATTGGAGTAGCAGTAAATTCAGTTCCAACCTTTCCCTTCAAATTTATCACGCATCAGTAGACACTAAGGTGGCCTTGTATTAAACATGGCCGCTGGTATCAACTCTGCTTCACACCTTTTGACCTAGAAATCTGTATGTTTCCTGACAACTTTATGTGAGAAGATTTGCTGAACACATATAAAGATATTTGATAGCACAAAGAAAGTTTGTTTCTGTCAGAAATATAGAATCCGCAGGTCATCGTTAATTGAAAATGACTGAAGGGTTTAATCAGGGACTGTTTACATAAGATGCAGATAAATAAATACTATTTCATTACGATTGTAAATATGTATACACACTGTTACCTAAAATAGCTGAAATGTGTTTTTGATTAGTGCTGTTGATCTAATGCCACTTACTGGGTAGATTTCTACCTTTGTTAAGGTGTATGGTTATGACACTATGTATATACAATGGTGTACAGTTTACATCAGTGGTGGTCGTCCTCAGGTTCAAAAAGTAGGCTCTTTTTAAAAATCACCTGAGAGATTGATAAAACAAAAATACAGGTCCCTCTCCTAGTTAATATTAAAAGGTTAATATTAAAAAATGCCAAGTCCCTCTACATGTTAATATTAAAAAATGCCAAGTCCCTCTACAGGTAAATATTGCAAAAATATAGGTCCCTCTCCTAGTTAATATTGCAAAAAAAAATTGCAGGTCCCTCTCCTAGATAATATTACAAAAATACAGGTCCCTCAACAGGTTAATATTACAAAAATACAGGTCCCTCTACAGGTTAATATTACAAAAATGCTGGTTCCCCTACAGGTTAATATTACAAAAATACAGGTCCCCCTACAAGTTAATATTACAAAAATGCTGGTTCCCCTACAGGTTAATATTACAAAAATACAGGTCCCCCTACAGGTTAATATTACAAAAATACAAATCCCCCTATAAAGTTGTTATTACAAAAAAACAAATCAATCTACGGTTTGATATCATCATTCACTATTCTTGCTGTTGTCAAGTTGTAATCACTACCGTGCACGATTTTAGATCAGAATTCAATATTATCACTCCTGCTTGGGTTGATACTTACCATGATAAAGCAAACAAATAATATAAGCATTTAAAGACAGCTTGAGTTGTCCAGTTTTATTTACGTTTTGTTTTCTGTATTTGTAGCGGACCCGCTACAGAAGTCTCGCAGAGGCCTCGTTGTAAGCCGTCCTCCTAGTTGTCACCTGACACGCGTTGACGAGGAACCAACAACCACTCAGGACGACAAGGGGCGTGTATCACAGGTTGAGACTGTAGACCGAGGAGTTGGACCAACACCACATCCACCACATGTGGATCCCCATGTCCGGGAACCACGCATTCCAGCTCCAGGATACTTTGTCAACCCACTCCTAGACCCCCGTAATGGCCTACTTGAACATGGATATGGTAACGGTACGTGTTTTTGTGTCTCATGATCAAAACATTCTTCACCATATAAAAATGCATACCAATTACATTCCTTCACCTGACTAAAATCCATATGGAATTTATAGAGAAAACCACATTTTGTGAAAATGGATTGAATCCTCGCTAAAATTCTTTTTATCTTTACTGAAGTTCAATTTTCTACTGAAATTTTTCAAAATATCTATGTATATTTTTGGTTTTATTGTTCTTGTTGGCAGGCTATGGGTTTCCCTACGGTCATTTCCCCTACCCCATAAACCAGCCCCTCCCTCTCGACTCCCACACACTGGAGGGGCGATACCATTGGCCCCCTTCTAGTCCATATCACCAGCCCATGCCGGGGTAAGTGCATTACAAAGTTACAAAAGTTTGGACAAAAGTAGTTGTTAACACTAATGTTGATGGATTCTGGTGTGATTTCATAAATCCTAACATCTTCACCTTATTTCTAATACGTATTATTGAATGTGTGTTTAAATCGCTGCATCATTTCAGATTCAATTTTACTTTAAGTTTGCAGTTTCAATTTGGAATTCCGTCTATTGTATTTAAAAAACCAAATTTATAAATTTTATGATTTTATGATAAGCTGGTATTAGGAGATTTATGTTTTAAACATTATACAACTTTTTATTGTCTAGACTTGCTGCAAGTCCCTCCCACTCTGATGTGTCGGTGCTTAGTATGCGTAGCCCGATAGCACCAGGAGAGCCTGTCACGAGCCTCGCAGCACGAATTCATTGGGAACAGCTCCAAAGGAACTATCTTTATCAGAGCCCTTTGTCAGGACGACGGTTCAGTCCCTCGTCACTTCCAGGTATGGTAGCATCATGACATCTCTAAATACTTGTAACCTGTAGACCAACTTGTGTAGACTGAGGAACTGAATAAACTGATCACCTGTGTAGAGGGGTCATCTGTGTACACTGTTCACCTGTCTACACGGTTCACCTGTGTACACTGTTCACCTGTCTACACGGTTCACCTGTGTACACTGGTCACCTGTGTAGAGGGGTCACCTGTATGGACTGGTCACCTGTGTGAACTGGTCACCTGTGTACACTGTTCACCTGTGTGGGCTGGTCACCTGTGTGGGCTGGTCATCTGTGTACACTGGTCACTTGTGTACAGTGGTCACCTGTGTGAACTGGTCACCTGTGTACATTGTTCACCTTTGTGGACTGATCACTTGTGTAGACTGGTCATCTGTTTGGACATATTTATACTGTGATGTTGACAAAGTAACATATTTATACTGTGATGTTGACATAGTAACAGCTTTATACTGTAATGTTGACATAGTATAAGGTTTATAGTGTAATGTTGGCATAGTAACAGGTTTATACTGTAATGTTGACATAGTAACAGATTTATATGGTTATGTTGACATAGTAACAGCTTTATACTGTGATGTTGACATAGTAACAGATTTATACTGTAATGTTGACATAGTAACAGGATTTTACTGTGTTGTTGATTGACATAGTAACATATTTATACTGTAATGTTGACATAGTAACAGGTTCATATGGTTATGTTGACATAGTAACAGATTGATACTGTGAAGCTGACATAGTAACAGATTGATACTGTGATGTTGACATAGTAACAGGTTTATACTGTAATGTTGACATAGTAACAGGATCATACTGTAATTTTGAGATAGTAACAGATTTATACTGTAATGTTGACATAGTAACAGGTTTATACTGTGATGTTGACATAGCAACAGGATTATACTGTAATGGTGACATAGTAACAGATTTATACTGAGATGTTGACATAGTAGCAGGTTTATACTGTAATGACAAAATCCACTGGATCTGTTGTTTAATTTTTAGGTGTAACCCTCAGTGATATATTGTGTTTTTATCTGTTGTAGGTCTACCCCTCGGTGGTCCTGGATCTGTGTACAGCGATTACCCCAGTCATGTGTCATACAGTGGGTGGAGTATGTTTGGGGACATCCCACCCACTCCGGGAAGTGGTAGCATCACCCTTCCCGGCTCGTTAGAAAGTAAGCATAATCCCACTCAAGTACCACATACCAAACTCTCCTAACACATTTGAAGATCATCGGAGATCTTTGTCTTCAACATTAATAGTTTTGAAAATTTTTCTGTTCTCAAATTTTATTGCATGCAATTTATATTATTGCGTAAACACTCAGAAAACTTTTGTCAGTGAAATTCAATATTCTAATACAAACCAATACAAATCTAGGATGTGATTATCTTTTTATAGTAGAATTTGTTTATCACCATTACTTCTCATTTAACTTCAGCTGTCAGATGATTGTCACCTAACACATCACTCTAAACTTAAATTGGATAAACATATATGGGGAGGGGAGGGAGCATAAGTGTGTCTATCCATCTCACAGTGTCCTGTTCTGAAACAATACCATATCTTAACCTTTAGATAAGTGTGGTTACTGTTTACCCTATAGGATCATAATATCATAATAGACGATCATTTTAGGCGGTCATTGAGCAGGGTCAAAGTGTCAAAGGTCAGACATTTCTGAAAATTCATCAAACAACGATGCATATACATTTCAGCGGGAGAATTATGTCTTTGATGAAGTCGTATCATTATATACCTGAAACATTTAGAAATTCTGAACGCCATGGTTAAATGATTGTTACCATGAAATGTCACAAATATTGTTATATCCTTAGTCAGCAGGTGTTTCTAGGTAAATAACGTGTTATTTTTAATGATATGCTAATGAAAAACAATTATCACTAGAAGTTGTACTGGATGCTTTTTTAAAACTTAATAATCAAGGTTGATTCTTTTTGGTGAGAATTTCACATTTATGAGTGTAAATACACACTAGTAGATGTCTGAAATTAAGTGAAAAGTTTAGATTTATGAGTAAAGATATTTAAACAATGTCTGAATTTAAGTGAAAATGTAAGATTTATAAGTAAAGATACACAATCAATGTCTGAAATTAAGTGAAAATGTAAGATTTATTTGTAAAGATATGGAACCGATCTGTGAAATAAACTAGAAAGTAGAATATTTTGTAGTGGGAATTTCACTGAAATATTTAGAATTATTATCATGCAGTTTTTAGCAGCTCATGCAAAGTCATGATATTGAAAACTGTTAAATCATTAGCCTTATGGCCCAAGGAATGAAACACTGATGTTGGGATTTGTGCTGATAACATGTAGTACAACATCAAAGACTTAGATCGTCTGTAGTCGAGGAAGCTTGTCTGCAGTTTTCCAGTGCATATCCTAGGCTTTCTTACTGCATTTATCCTGTAAAAATTGTTTCCTTTATTTTCTCTTGGGAACTAGATATAATTCTGATGGCCTTTTGATGAAAAGTAGGAATAATACTTGAAACAAATATCTAGTATTGTAGTCAAGAACACAAAGATGGGAAAACTTGTTTCCCTTTGTTATGTCGAGTCATGTGGAGAGGCTTTAGATTTTTTTTGATTTTTTTTTTTCAATTATGGAAAGTTTGTTCGGAATTCGATGCCAGTGAAGGAATGTACTGCATGTTCCTAAATGTTCAAATATGTACATATGATAAAACCATTAAATAGATCTATTTTTGATATCATTCATTAAAAAGTGTTTAGACACGCATAGGTAAACTGGTTAAGTTACTGTAGAGTTGGTATTATTTGGGGGACATTTGATTTAGCTATATTAGCAATCACAAAGAAAACCAATAAAAAATGCCCTCAAGTTTACTACATAAGGTGGAGAATTTAATCACTGTGGAGAACCCTCATCCAGGAAAAACATAAAGTAATATACTCACAATATTAAATCACTATGAAGTAGCCTCAACTAGGAAAAACATAAGATAATAGACTTGCGAAATTAATTCGTTGTGAAGGAGTCCATTTCGAAAAGAACACAAAATATTATACTCATGAAATTGAATCACTGTGAGATAGTCCCATCCAGGGGAAAAAACACAAAAATTATATTCATGAAATAAAATCAGTGTTAAGTCACCCCATCCAGGAAAAACATGAAATATTATACTCATGAAATGAAGAAATATATAGTACATAGTTATATTGGATTAAGTTGTTCAAAAATGCCATTTTCACACAATTGATCCAACAGTAAAACAAAAAGAAAGTGTAAGCATTCTCTATCTAATTTCATGTTCTTTCCAACTCTGTGTTTCAGGTTCCCGACTTACAAGTCCTCGTCCCAGTATTATATGTAAAAGTCGAAAACGGGCATTGTCTCATTCACCCATCTCTGACTATTTGGACATACAGAGTCTGACACGGAGTTCAGAAGGATCCTTACAATTTACTCCATTTTTACACAGTACCAATTCAAGGAGTTCCAGTGCAGCTAGTGGATCCTATGGTCATTTATCAGCAGGTGAGAAATCTATCATATGATCATCTATCGAACTAAAACTTCTCAAGTTCTGGTATACTGAGCATTATACACTCATAGTTCAAAGGTCAAGGTCACCAGTACTATCAGGGCATCCCTGTCTTAACACTTTCTTTTTGAAGGCATTTTCAGATTGATGTGTTAAAAAAACCCTAAAAAATTGGAAGGTTTGAAAGAATGAAGTTTACATCTAGTTTTGCATAATAAAAATATTAAATGTGCAAGATCCTAGTTAGATCATTAAATTTAATTAAACAACAAAAAAGAAACAGCTGGTTGACATGGCTAATGTCTGATTGATGATGATTTTGGCGTCTGTCAGTTTCCTGTTGTTTGATGGTCTGTCTGTCACCATTGATCATTTTAGCCTCAGCTTGGTGTACACAGATCTTTCTGCTTCCTGTATCACAGCACTTTCTGTAATTAAGTAATTTGGAAAAGATATGTATGTATTTCACAGCTCCGAAGTGGAGAATTGATTACAATCAATGTATTACACCTTGAACAGCTAACCTGTTATATAGAGTTGGTAAATCTGGTGCTCGTAAGGCAATACAATTCATCCTCTTCGATTAAAAACAATCTTTACTGACTTAACACATTCAATCCATTAATGAAATATTTGCTTCAAGCTTCCAAAATATATTGATTTTTTTTCTTGCCACTTGAGATCATTTATATGATTAATTAAAAAAATGCACTTGGCATAGAATTAAATAAGTTGTGACTTGATTGCTGTTGAAAATTTTTACTGAACATTTAATTGTGTCCTTAACAAAGTATAACATGTTTGATGTTTTCATTTCACAGTAAACTTGGACACATTGATTTAGAAGGTCCTTATCAAGTCTTTGTGTATCATATAGATTATTCATTTTAGTACTGAAGTTTCATAAATTTGAAGAAAAAACTTGTAACTTGGAGTAACTGTATTTTGAAATTGTTCATCTGTTACTTGATTGTTGTTACCCTGTTTCTATGGTAACCAGTATAAACAGAATTGATGTGCTTTGTGTTTGCTACTCCAGCAAAAGTATAAAATTTTCTTCTCTATCCTACACTGGAATGCTACTGGCTAACTCCATGATTAAGTAACGCATCAGCTCTGTCAGATTTGCATGCTAGTAGAAAACTGGATAAATTATACACCTAGTTATACACAAACTAGGAAACAGGTTTTATTACACAAATCAAATATCGTTTGCATTTTGTAAATAATTTGTAGAGGGAAATTGGCCAAGTGTAAGAAGATTGGTGAAGATAACTGTAACACAGTGTATAGAGATGTTATTTTCCCTGTAAATAGTCTCATGTATCCGGTTCTCAGTTACTGTTTCAGGGACCAACCTTTCAATAATTGTGTTATTTTTGGTATGTTTATCTAAAAATAGAATAATCTATCATGATATTACCACCCATGCTGATTCTTACCCACAACAGATACTTACTCAGCTCCCATCCAAACTCTGATAACACTTCACCAATAACCTTAGAACTCTCCTGTGTTGGAGATTACCTAATAGGTTGACGCACAGGGCAAAAATACCTACACGAAATATCAGATGAGTCGATATACATGAACACTAATAACCAAAATTACAATCTGCACATTCGGATATCCTCATGTCCTGTGGTGTTATGAATTGTGCAACAGTTTTGGCGATACCATCCATGTATACAGAGTCCTCAGCAATGAGCATCACATATACAAGCCAACCTGAAAGAGAAGAGAAAAACAGGCAGAAAAAAATAGAAATGAAAATGTATTACTGATGCAGATGTACCTATCGCAGTTAGAAAAAAAAAGGAAAGGTTGCATATTAAAAGGTGTAACTTTTTAGAAGTCACTGTTGGGGATAGGGATGTGGTGAGGGATCACAGTCACTGTGTGGGATAGGGATGTGGTGAGGGATCACAGTCACTGTGTGGGATAGGGATGTGGTGAAGGATCACACTCACTGTGTGGGATAGGGATGTGGTGAGGGATCACAGTCACTGTGTGGGATAGGGATGTGGTGAGGGATCACAGTGCCTGCGAGGGATAGGGATGTGGTGAGGGATCACAGTGCCTGCGAGGGATAGGGATGTGGTGAGGGATCACAGTGCCTGCGAGGGATAGGGATGTGGTGAGGGATCACAGTCACTGTGTGGGATAGGGATGTGGTGAGGGATCACAGTCACTGTGTGGGATAGGGATGTGGTGAGGGATCACAGTCACTGTGTGGGATAGGGATGTGGTGAGGGATCACAGTGCCTGCGAGGGATAGGGATGTGGTGAGGGATCACAATGCCTGCGAGGGATAGGGATGTGGTGAGGGATCACAGTGCCTGCGAGGGACAGTGCCTGCGAGGGATAGGGATGTGGTGAGGGATCACAGTGCCTGCGAGGTATAGGGATGTGGTGAAGGCTCCTTGTTTAAAAACAAACATGTCTGACATTGTATTTACAGACAAATAAATCTGTCCCATCTTATCTAGAGGAAAACAAGTTTCAGACTTTAATTTTAGACAAACAAGTGTGTAAGATCTATTTTTTCATTAAAAGCAAACAAGGCTTTAAGATCTTATTCTACACATCATCTAGTCTATCACCTCCAGACGAGTTTGCAGACTTGTTTGTCAGAGACCCAAACAGAGAATTTGCTGATTTGTACAATTATGATAAGTTCTTGTGTCTGGCTTTGTAACCAGAACTCTTTGATGTGTGGAGGAGGATAACATACTTGATAAGTAGATGATGTGTTTATATATCAGGTGAGGTTCATCCTAAGTAAAAGGTACATTTGTAAGAATGATATCTCTGGCAGACAAGTGTAGCTCACAGACAGAAGGGTTATTAGAGCAGGAAATACAATGCCAAAGTTTGTCATAATTCTGTTTCTATTACGTACACGTAATATACTAGATTAAAAACGGTATATATCTCAGTTCACCCCATGTCTGGTCGGCAGTGAATGTTCCATTTGTTTTCGTGTTTTTCTATGTTACGAGGTACAATCTCCTGCTGTGCTGTATAACTATGGTTTTAACCTCTCAACACATTACTTTTCAGCCTCCCTTGGAACTGCAAGTCCCGCCATGCAACAGATGGGACATCCCATGAACCCCTACATGCGATCAGGACCCAGCAGTATGGCCGCCTCCCCATTCATCTATCCCATGATGCCTCCAATGATGGGAGCAGGGAGAATTCCTCCAGGGACTCTGATACCGCCTACCTCACATTCACAGCCTATCCATCAGCAACCTAAACACCACCCACCAGTATGCATCAACATAGTGCACATAACCTTACATTAAATCAGACTGCTAAACACTATCAACATGGTGTACATAACCTTACCTAAAATCGGACTGCTAAACACCATCAATATGGTGTACATAACCTTACCTAAAATCGGACTGCTAAACACCATCAATATGGTGTACATAACCTAACATTAAATCAGACTGCTAAACACCATCAACATGGTGTACATAACCTAACATTAATTTAGGTTGCTAAACACCATCTAGCAAGTCAGAAATAAAAAAAATCATTAAAACATCCTATAGTCAAGTCTTCAAAACTTCATCTTTTATCAAATCACTATGTACAAATGTTTTCATAATCAAATTTCTTCTACTCTATAGCAGTTTCTATGAGAAATAAAGACATATTATTATCAGCATAACTTTCAATATAGAGGCTAGTTTTGTTCATAAATGAAATGACCTTGACTTTTGATTTTATTTCAGCCCCAGATCTCCACGACAACCAAGGAGGCTGGAAGTAGTGTTGTGAGCAGCAGTACAATAGATAACGCCATGGGAGAAAGCAAACGGTCAAAAATTAAAAAGGAGGCTGACATGCCCAGTCTAGGTAAATCAAACTTATTTAAAGATAACTTGCCTTGTATGATTGTTCCTATTATCTGTAATTAAATTAAATATTAATGATTTCAGTTTTTATGATACCTGATACCCTAAAAAATGCATCTTTTAATTTCTGGTGATTTAGCATAGCATGATGACAGTTATCTGGTGTCGTATTTTCCTGGTATTGATTGTGGCTGGTGGAAATGTGGAGTAAATTATTCACTAACAGGGTTTATTAACCTCATACAGATGGTATCATGCCACTAAATGAGGGTACATGCACTGGGTTAATACTGTGCAGGTGAACTCTGATTTTCACTGAATATAAAATGTTTTAAATTACCTCCTTAATGTTTTGTAGGAAATGAATTACTAGATAAACTACTCAGAATAGATTTAAGTAAAACAGATGAGAACATTTTCTCTTTTTACCCAGGAAAATGGATCTTTTATTTCTTCTTCTAACTGAGAAACTTTTCTTAAAAACAAAAAAAATCTGATAATGTTTTAATAAAAAGAAGATAATGGTTGCTATAGATATAATGAGCATTTCAAAATGACTGGAAAAAATCTTGTTTTTATGTATATTGCCTTTGTTCTAACCCATTTCTTATATGATATCAGCTTTACACATCAGACAGGATTGCCTGAATTAAACAACCATATGTATACCCATTTTAGACTAATTTCAAACAGGAAATTTGTAGATCTTTAAGGTTAAAACAGTTACATGTGTTAATATCATATTCATATCAGTGTCATGTGATATTATATTTATATCCAAACCTGTGAGTATATCAACATTGGCCAGTAAATCTATTTATTTTATGTGTCAATTACATTTGAAAATTTATATATACTTTTTCTGATGGAGAAAACCAACCCATCCTGGCAGCCTGTGTTGTACAGGAATTTTAAAAGATGAATGAGAAATGAGGATTGAAGTGAATTTTATGTCAAAATAATCAAAGAAAGATCTGGACTGAAAAGGCAGCCTCCAGGCAAATTGAAACACTTGTCTGTAACTGAATAGCTCATTGGCAGGCTTGATGGCCCAAGTCTGTGTAACAAGACACTTGATTGGCTGATTAGTTTGATGGAAAGGGGTGAAAATTTCAAGTCATCTCATTGGCAAGGAATTTTTTTTCTTAAAATTTATGAGTATGATTTATGATATCATCCTATTCTCCCCTCTGTGGAATGGAATGGTCCTATTGAATACTGAGGAAGGATAGTTTACTTAGGAGGGGAATGTTTTCGGAACATTAATATCAGCAGATAACAAATACAACGTAGTAGACACTTTCTTGTTGTCATCAGCTAGCTGGTATTTGTCATATACAAAAATGTGTTTTTATCAAATACAACAATAATGAAATGTGATGGGCCATAAAACACAATATCGGTGATAAAGATATATATATAGCTATTAAGTCAATTGAAAGGTTGCTTACAAGCATGACAAACATACAACATTCTAAAACAAGTTTAGAGCAATCGTACCTAACGCAGTCAAGAGGTGCACAACATTTGATGTTGATATTCCAATGTAATTCTAGATAAAATAATTCAGAATTTGCTGGCAAGAAGTGATGTATAGGTTTTAAATGATACTGTTGTAAGATGCACACTCCGATAGATTTCCCGACACCCAAGTTAATGGCTTCCCTTGAATTTCCACCTGCTTTCATGTCGATCAAATTCATGAAAACATGTTGGTATCTGATTAGAGTTCTCCTGTTAGTATGAAGCCGATTTCATGCTAAGAAAATGAACAAAATATGATACGTATGTTTCTCAGGATATGAATAGAATTTTTACAGAAAGCTTATCACCAATAGCAAAGAGCTACATTACCATTCCAGTATAGTAACAAGGATTCATGTTAACACATTAGCAAGTCTCGTATTCTGTTTATCATATTGAGAAACAGAACGTGCAGGAGGCCTCATATCAGTCACATCTTCCGAGTATTGAAGAGAAAATACTGTTACCCAATACGTGTAGCTAATGAAAACAGTTATACCTGTTAGGCTTCCATTATAACAATTAGGTTTCTGTTTACAACCTTTCAATTAGATTTCTGTTTACAACCTTCCAATTAGATTTCTGTTTACAACCTTCCAATTACATTTCTGTTTACAACCTTCCAATTAGATTTCTGTTTACAACCTTCCAATTACATTTCTGTTTACAACCTTCCAATTACATTTCTGTTTACAACCTTCCAATTAGATTTCTGTTTACAACCTCCCAATTAGATTTCTGTTTACAACCTCCCAATTAGATTTCTGTTTACAACCTTCCAATTACATTTCTGTTTACAACCTTCCAATTACATTTCTGTTTACAACCTTCCAATTAGATTTCTGTTTACAACCTCCCAATTAGGTTTCTATTTACAACCTCCCAGTTCGGTACCTCTCTGCAACCCACAACCTCCTAGTCACAAATTCTATTGACAACCTCTCTGTTCAGTTTCTATTTACAACATCCCAGTGAGGTACCTTTCCTCAACCCACAACCTCCTGGTCACTAATTCTATTGACAACCTCCCTGTTCGGTTTCTATTTACAACATCACCATCACAAATTTGTTGGCATCATCCTAGTTTGGATGCTATTGACAACCTCCCTGTCACAATTTCAGATGAAAACCTCTCTGATAGGTTTCTAATGACAACCTCTTGGTTATAAAAGCCCTTGTCAACTTACCAATTATAGGTTTCTATTAACAACTTTGAACACATTGTATTCAATTTTTTCCTGCAGATTGATTATGTCCTTCACTTTATTTCCATTTACAAAATTTATATGCTAATTGATGTATGTAATTGAACTTTTCAGGAGATGACCTACATGATGAGGATGATGAAAAACACAATGGGGAGGGAATGGAGAAGGCAGGACATATTCCTGTGGAGGGAGAGCCAGACTTCATAGAGACCAATTGTCACTGGGAAGGATGCAACTGCGAGTATGAAACTCAGGATGAACTAGTCAAGGTAGGGGCTGTTATTTACAACTTAACTGGTGATAGGGTGGTGCAGTGGTGTCACACTCGCCTTTCACCTAGTCGTCCAGGGTTTGATTCCCGGAACTGGTGTGAACAGGTAGGGAGTCACTTACCAGACCATGTGGGTTTTCCCTGGTACTCCAATTTCCTCCTACGATAAGAACCCTCGCACGCTTATATCAGGGCCAACAAGAGTGATTAGTAGAAGTTGATAATAACTTGTTTCATGTAGTAAAAAAAAAGTTTATAGTTAATGTTCAACTTAATAGAAAGCTTTTAATCAACTCATATTCACAAAGACTGGTGTTAGATCTGTTCGGGCACTCTAAGGCTTAATGGTGAGTGCGTTGTTTGTTTTTTAAATACCTATAACTGAAATACTACCAGTTTGAGTCTACCAACATAAGTAATACAGGTTGGTTTTACTTGTTGTTTTCCCATATTGGCATTTTCATCAACAACTTCATCAACGACTTCACTTATAAAGAATTGTTTTAAACACAACAATAAGAATTAATGAATATTTTACCTTCATTTTTCATTGCTGTTTACAGTACTGATGAGAAAATACAGAAACTATCTTAAGGTGGTGTTTACTTCTGGTATAAATTGTTCTTGGTGTTTTCAAGAGCTTTCTTTTACTTTTCGTTTCAGCATATCAATATAGATCATATCCAAGCCAATAAGAAATCGTTTGTGTGTCGCTGGGTTGAGTGTACGCGAGAATCCAAACCATTCAAAGCTCAGTATATGTTAGTGGTACATATGCGAAGACATACAGGAGAGAAGCCACACAAGTGTACAGTAAGTAGCTGTGTCAGGAATTCATCACTTTGTTTCTGTAGCAAGAACTGTACTTTTACAGAATGGCACATACATTTTCACTTTTGATATAAATTGCTTTAGTTTTCATCCTTTAAATTGTCATTTTCTATTGATGAAATCCTGAGGTGAGAAATTCATGATTTTTCCATCCTAATTTTATTGATGGTTTTGATCTCTACATTTTTTCACTTTGTTTACAGTTTGAGGGTTGTAATAAAGCTTATTCTCGGTTAGAAAATTTGAAGACACATCTGCGCTCACATACAGGAGAGAAACCCTACATGTGTGAATACCCAGGCTGTACAAAAGCCTTCAGTAATGCCTCTGACCGAGCCAAACATCAGAACCGTACTCATTCTAATGCTGTAAGTACTACAGGAATAATCTTCACACAAATTCTTCCAAAACATTTATCTTATTTTCATCTCAGTCACTAGTTAATAAAATGCCCTTTAATTTGGATTGAATAAGTCAACAAGAACAGCCTGAATTTATTGACCAGAGGCCAGGAATTTTTGTTTGATATGGATTCTTAAAATTCTACCTGTAATCCGCCATATTTTCTTTATCTTTTCTAGTTTTCAAATATTTTTCTAGACTAAACAAGTCTGTGAAAGTCTGAATGATGTTCACTTTTTGTCAACAGAAACCTTATGTATGTAAAGCAATGGGATGTACGAAACGCTACACAGACCCAAGTTCACTGAGGAAACACGTGAAAACTGTTCACGGTCCAGATTTCTACGCTAACAAGAAACATAAAGGAGACAGTTGTAAACAGGAGCGAAACATGGAGTCTGAACAGGTAAACAGTCAATTTCTCTTGTAAAAAATGTATGTGTTTTACAAAAACTATTCCTTTCTTAATGGCAGTAACATTGGTGTAAGGGAGGTAACTCTACTATATTTTTTTCCGGTGCAGGATCAAGACAAAAAGGATGATAACAGCACGAAGAAGATGGAGGAATGTCTAACTGTAACACCATTACATGCTGCTATGTCTGGGGAGAGGAGGAGGTCACAGGTGAGATAGGGTAGGGGAGAGGAGTTAAATGGGCTAGGGTGGGGTGAGGAGATAGATGAGATAGGGTGGGGGAGAGGAGATAGATGAGATAGGGTGGGGGAGAGGAGAGAGGGTAGGGGAGAGGAGATAGGTAAGATAAGGTTAGGAAGAGGTGACAGGTGAGATAGGATGGGGGAGAGGAGATAGATGAGACAGGGTTAGGGAGAGAGAGGAGACAGATGAGATAGGAATGGGAGTTATATTAATATGTAATAGGTGCATTTTTTTGTTAGTGATCAGACTAAACATAACTTTACTTTTTTGTTATATAAAAGAGGTTATTGTGTAGATGGGACTAATGTTTAAGTTTTGTACAATGTATTTTTTATTCACAGGACAATGTTGGTAACGCTTTATCCCAGCAGCAACCATCACCCCAGAGTAGTCCAGAGGTGAATGTCACCAACTCTATACAACCCGAGATCATAGAGGAACATGTGGGGTCTGTTACTCAGGTTACTTTAGAGGAGGAAGTGGACATCCCAGAACCAGAGGAAGCTGATGTAGGTCTACAGTCCACTGTAAACCAACAATCTATGCATGCATTTTACTCTTACAAATTTCCAATCAAAGCAAAATCACAAACATTAATTTGCAGTTTTTTTATAATTAATATTTGTTGATTTCTTATAATGAATTCTTACCTTACATATAGTTTATAAGCCAACCATCATCATACGGTAAGCTGTTCAAATGACCCTTCCCCCGGCGTCTGCTCTTAACAAATCTTGTTAATGCTTGGTGTGGGTGCTCCTTGGTCTCTAGTTATGCAATGTCCCATTTTGGGTTTTTACAGTAATAGTTTGTTTTATCAATATTTCTTGAAAAGATACTGGATGGATCAATCTCAAAGTTCATGTTTAGGTTCTAATATGTCCCTAATTGTGCTATGTCCCATTTTAAAACTGATCTGAAAGATAGTATGGATGACAGATAGCCATCTTGTATTTTGATCGTAATATATTTTATACATAGGTTCATCTTGGTTCCTAGTTTTGCAGAGGTGGCCATCTTGGTTTTGATAATTTGTTATTGTTATTGTGAAAAGAAAAGGATGGATCTTTCTCAGATTTCATATGTAGGTTCCTTTTAATCCATTGTTGTGCTCTATGGTGTTGAGACTGATCAGAAAAACAAAATGGCTGATAGGGGAGAAATGTTGATAATGAAGGTCTCTAACTTGACTCACTGACATGGTCAGATTAGTGACCAGATATGGAGATCCCTATGGGGCTTAATTAAACTCACTGACATGGTCAGATTAGTGACCAGATATGGAGCTCAATGTGGGGCTTAACTAAACCCACTGACATGGTCAGATTGATGACCAGATATGGAACTCCCTGTGGGGCTTAACTAAACTCACTGACATGGTCAGATTAGTGACCAGATATGGAGCTCAATGTGGGGCTTAACTAAACTCACTGACATGGTCAGATTGATGACCAGATATGGAACTCCCTGTGGGGCTTAACTAAACTCACTGACATGGTCAGATTAGTGACCAGATATGGAGTTCCCTGTGGGGCTTAACTTAACTCACTGACATGGTCAGATTAGTGACCAGATATGGAGCTCCCTATGGGGCCTAACTAAAGACCAGAAACTTTGAATCTTTTAGTCATAATGCAGCCTCAGAAATCGGAAAAATCATTGTGAACTTGTTGTATTGATAAGATCGTAAAAGCTAGTAGCCGCGAAAGTAAAATGGTTTGCTTTTGTCCTGTTTCGAGGTTATTTGTTCTCACATAGTAATCTCTTCTGAAATTATGTCCATATGTTGTAATGAGTTTCTGTCATTCATATCAAACAAACAATGGATCAATGCATTCAGCTCCAATAATATGCTTCATTCCTTGATTTTGTTTTGACAGATACCAGGAGGTGGGACAGGCACAGTGATCGCGCGAAACAATCGTCTCAATGTGGTCCATCAGAATCGTATCAAAGGCAAAATGGTGGGGAAAAACAATTCCACCTTACCTCAGATTCCAGGTAGCAACAGTAAGTATCTAGTTCTCATTGCCATGTCATCTTTAATGGGTCCTCAAGGAACATACTTTTTTCATTACAATACAGTTGTGAAAATGAGTACCAACATTTCTGAGAAGTAATTTTGTGATGGTCTGGTGACATTTTAGAGAAATTCAGAACAGACATATCTAGGTCTGGTTAATTTTTAGAGAAATTCAAAACAGACATATCTAGGTCTGGTTAATTTTTAGAGAAATTCAAAACAGACATTTTCTCCACCTTATAAGTCTTCTCAGATGACAGTATTAACAGTCAGATGTCTCTAATAGATCTAGAACCATTTTTTATTTAAAAGGATATTTTTCTCATAATGCATTTGTATTTTGTTTTTATCCAGACAATCGTATCAACAGTCAGACATCTCTTACAGATATCTCCAACAAGACTGCTCAAGTCAAAAATCCACAACTTAAGAGAATCATGGATCTCAACGGTAAGTTAATTGATTAGACCTCCATGATACAAGACTACTGACCACCTTTTATCTTCAGTATCTTAAAATTCCTTATTAAATATTACAATGCTTAGATGTTCTGAGGTTCATTCTCTGTATCAGGTCGAAATATTCTTAAATAAATCCAAGTGCCCAATATCACAGTCAATTTATAACTAGATTGACATCAAAGCAAGATCTTATTCATATATAAAGTCTCTAGTAGCACCCACTTCAATTTTTATTAATTACTCATGTAAAAAAAATTTTCAACAGATTCACTGAAATCATCACAATTTACAGATATTTGACACTTTAATAATTGTCACATATGAAATCATTTTAATATTTTCGTGTTTGCTCTGTTTTATAGGTCATGGGGACAAGCCATTACCTGGTTACCTTGGGGGTAGTCGTCGTGACAGTAATACCAGTACAATCAGCTCTTACCTCAGTAGTATGAGGTCAGAAGCAAGTCCATGTTTCCCATTCGGCAGCAAATTCTCCAGTCGGCGATCTAGTGAAGTGTCACAGTTCAGCGAACGTCTCAGCATTACAAACTCTCCTTATGAGTATGACATTACCGGGAACATGCCTCATCATGGCCCCCATTGTGGTTCTAGTCGACGGTCAAGCGAGGCCAGTAACATCAGTAATGTTGCCGCACAGCTGCAGAAAGCACATCTTGGTAGCAACCCCAGCCTCATAGTTCAGTCCCAAGCCATGCCACTACGTAGTCCCTCAAGTAAATATTCCAGCGAGCGTCTTGCACGTTTCTTGGCTGCTCGCAATGAACTGGATGGTGCTCGAACGAGTACACCGTGTCGCACTCCACTACCTCACGAGATCCCCAACAGGGATGTGCGCAGGTATAGTGACCCAGTACGAACACTAGACCCAAATTTCAGTGTGCTAAAGAGACTACAAAGGTTTCATAGTTTAAATATGATGAAACCACTACCAGTACCTCAGTCAATGAAAAGTCTGTTAAGTAAGACCGGATCTAACAACACGTTCCACTCATCGCGGAGTAGTATTATGACCGATCATAGTCTCGCAGAAAATGAGGAGTGGTCTCCTGGTGGTCCAAATGACGGGAGTATGGACACTGATATTGAGGCAGCACTGATGGAGAAGATGCTGGAGGACAATGAGGATATGATCATACCTGACGATATGAGACGATTCTTAAACGAGAGGTATGGAAATCTGTTGGGAGTAGATTCTGTGGTACCTGAGAATGATGAACAACCAATGACGAGGGGAAACAATCCAAACCAAGATGTTGCATCAATGGACTCGTACTCAAATCAACCAACACCCATGCCAGATAATATGAATGACATGCAACACTCTCCTGGTTACTATGGTAATCAAGGAGGAATGAGCCAATCACAGCAGCAAGGCATGGCGTTCAACAATGGAGGGAACCCCCAACAGTTCAATCAGGGACAAATGTGTAGTGGTAGCTCAATGCCACAAAACATGCAGCAACCGATGCCACCCAATATGGGTCAAGGTGGCATGCCTAATCAGCAGGGGCTGCCACCAAACATGCAGGTGAATCAGATGTGGCCTCAAGGGGGTCCACCTAATTATAATAATATGCAACAAGGGATGCAAGGTAACAGTGCATCACAGTTACCTCAGGGACAAAGTGGCAATGTGTTGCCACAGAACATGCCACCACCACACACAAGTGGCAACATGATGCACCCACCTGTAAGTGGTGGCATGCAACCACCCTCAAAGGGTGTGCAGATGATGCAGTCCCACCAAGGCCAGACAGGACACCCAATGATGGGTAATCACATACCACATCCTCCTGGTGGCCAGCAGATGCCACAGGGTGTGCCCATGTCGCCAATAGCACCACAACAACGTATGAACCAATCAAACATGGGATCTCTTCAAAATATGCAGCATGGTAATCGTGTAATGAACAACATGAATGGTGGCAATATGAACCATTGGCAGATGATGAATAATACTGGACAGAGTGATGGAAATTCAATGCCTCAGGGTCAAATGCCACAAGGCCCGATGCCACAGCAGCAGTATATGCCTCACCCACCCAGCATGAATAAACAACAAGGCATGCAGTCCAACATGTCTCCCAACATGCCACAGTCAAATATGCAGCCAATGCCACCCAATATGCAGCAAGGTATGCCACCCAACATGCAGCACATGCCGCGGCCACCACCATCAAGTAAACAGGAGCGAGACAGCCCGCAAGTTCAAGTTCCCCATATCAGCACATCACAGATCCCATCTAAAAACAAGGCAGCCAATCGAAACCAAATGATAATGCGTCAGCATCAGCAACAGATGATGGCCAATCAGAGCACATATAACAACAACAACAACAATAACAATAATCAGATGTATCCAGCGATGGGCAACATGGTCGAGGGGTATGGGGGAAACATGTACAACAATATGGGGCAAGGTAACATGGAGGTGCCCCCTATGTACCCTCAGCAAAATATGAACATGGCACCTCATCCCCCATCTGGACCCCCACACAAACCAGGGGGCCAACAGCCGCAACCCCCTCAGATGTCCCAACAGCAGCACAATCAGCAACTCAAACCAAATGTCTACCAACAACAGACTCAACAGCCCCCTACGTCAGGGAGCGCTTACCCAAACCCCCTCGAAATGTCTCCAGGGTGCAATCAAGTGACAAGCTCAACAGATCGGAAGGAAATCACAGCTCCACCTATTGAGGAATTCATGGAAAACATTAATTCAATTTCATCAGAAAATCTGTTGGATAACATAAGCTCCATATCGACTGAAAACATAAATAACAACATGTACACTGGCATGAACCAGCGATCCGCATCTCAATCATCATCACGGTATAATCCACAATCCTTACCCGCCAATAACATGGTAGTGAACGATATGAGCTCAGTGTTAACACAGTTAGCTGAGGAAAATAAGTACCTAAGCATGCGTCATTGATAATAATTGTGGAATAATTTGTTACTGTTTGTATGGAGTGTCAATCAGAGGCTTCATACTGTTTCTTCCAAATACTAATTGGATATAGGTACTTGTACGCATATCATTGCAAAATTGTGTCAACATCGTTTCATTTTTTTAATGCATAAACCTTTGAACATAAAGAGATGCATATTACACATTTTCTCTGTGGAGAATTCAATTATCATTATCTGTTTCATTAGTGGTGTAGAACTTTGTGAATTGATGGATGGCAGGAAAAGTGTGAATGATCATGTATCTTGTGAAAGTTCAAAAGTGCTAATTACGTTCTCATAGTAATCAAGGATGGAGACTTAATTACTTATTGTTATTACCAATTACCTGGTATACATCAGTGTTATATTGTTTGACTCTGGAGGAGAAAATAATCTCGACTGTTTTGCTCAGTGCTAGCATCATGAATTGTATGTTACAGTGACCTTATTACATGTACAATGACCTATATATTTGTTAATGAAGTATTATATTGTGTATTGATTTTGTCTGTTAAGATGTAAAATTACTAAGAAATTTTTAAACAAGATATGTTTTTAATACTAAAGATTTACTTAACTAGCCTTAAAGGGAAAAAAACACTCCTGAAGATGGATGTTAAAGATTTATATAGCAATAAAATTTTATTAAGATGGCTGAAAGATCTTACAATCTTGAGACTTGAAGTATTTATATCTTAGGATAAGTTCTAGAATGGTAGGAGCTATTTCACAGTATAACTGTGGGTTTGAAAACCAGAACATGTTACTTTATTTCTAGTTTTTAAATGCAAGTATAAGTCCTTCATTGTCTGTGGTGGCAATGACACGCTTTGAGATTATAAACAGATTTATAGTAGAAGTTCTGAATTACCAATTTATTTGAATGATGATCTCTACTCCAGTAACATTACTACGTATTATTTGTTAAAGAACGTTGTTCCTTCTAGTATTAATGTGCCATTTTTAAATTTTGTTAACTCAGTATGAAATACTCTTACCTACCCTATCACCTACAATACAAGGCTGTATTTAGGGTACAAGTTCTATTTTCATACTGACCAGCATTTTTTTACTCCACGAAAGATAAAAGTGAAAGCAAAATGATAACATAAGCATTTAAACATAGTTTACAGGCAAACAGGTATTAAGGACGTTTTTCTGAATCAATTTACTAGGATATACACATACTAGGAACATTGCGTTCAAATAAATCAAACTGGATATCATTTTGACGGAACAAGGACAAGCTCTGGTATAATTGGTGCTTTAACTATATTTTTTTTAACTTTTACTTAAGTTCTCATCAAATGTGCCTTATTTACGCAATATACATACCGAATGTGCTATTCTGAATTCAGACGTTCTTGTGTTTCAAAATCAAATGAAAATGTTAATGTCATATTATTTGTTGTTACATTTTTACTACATGCCTTCTGCATTGACAAAGTGCTACACTTGTATTATAAATGGATAAAGTGATGGTTGACCCTCAAATGGAAGGTCACACCATAGAATCAGTGCACAGTAACAAAATGAGATTTTATTTTTAAAAAAAACGAGAATTTACTTTTACTGTTTTACTTTTATTCCTTAAACTCTCCATGGTTGTTTTTAATGTTCATTTTTTTTTCTTCGATTATTTGAGATTTTAATACTCGATTTAGTTAGCTTAAAATACAGGTCTTTTAAGGGTTACCCCCCTTTGATCTGTCTTCATAGCTGAGGTAGGTAACAGAAATTGGTCATTCACTTGTAAGTATTCAATCTTTTTTACAGTTTTTTTTAATTGTTTTTGTTTTTGTTTTTTTTTAACTTTTAAGAGGGTATTTTTCATGTTTAAATTTTAACATGTAAAATGAAATTTGAAATGCTACATATTGCTAAAATTTTGTTTTATCACACCATAAAATGGCTGCAACAATTTTTTAGTATTTCCAAGTTTACGCGATACTTTTTTTTCAGTAGCCTTTAATGATAAGAGAAGAACTTTCTGAGGTAGATATTTTTTGTATTTTCTCATCACAAAACAGCTACAGCTACTTTCCCCATCAGTTTGTTCTATCCAGTAGCTGTAGTCATTTCACTGAATGCATCTTCTGTTATTTAGTAACCTGAGATGATTTAACTGTACTTAGATCCAAGATCAGCGAAGAAATAAGATTTCAACAATACTTTATATGTTTAGGAAAAACAAGATGAGTACTGTTTGGTCCAATTTTCACAGATAAGAATAATAGTTATTCTAAGATGTGTTGTTCATGCTGCATGTCCATTGTATATAAGTACTCATATTGCCATCATACTTGTGAGCTACGTGCTACATATGTATCCGTCCACATTTCCAGCCTCCTATGTATTAGACTATTTTACACTGTTTTACACTGATTACAAATACATGTATCTAAATTTTAGTTAATTTTAAACTCAAAATACTTTTTTTTTTAACTTTTTCTTTGAACATTGGTTGATGAAAAAGGACATGTTTTCAGAAAGTTTAACTTGAAATACCACATCTTGAGTTTGAGTTTAAATGACCGCTAATGTTTTATCCCAGAAAAAATAGTCAAATATCTAACAGGATACACTTGTTCAAATCTTTGTCAGACTGTGTGTCTCAGGGGGCTCTGATTTTTTATAAGAAAATGTTGAAAACTTCATTTCAGCTCTATTTATAATGATGAACACTTAATCATGTAAATGTTTAAAAAAAAAACAAAAAAACAAAAACAAAAAAAAAAGAAAAAAAAGAGAACAAATCTTATTTTCAGGCAACAACTATGTCAATACATATTTAATATTTCTGTCAAATGTTGCAAAAAATGAAGTCCCAATTTGCTTGGACTGTGATCACCAGAATTTTTCTACATCAAAGTAAATCAGAAAGATGGTCTTTGATGGTATTCCGTGACATTTTCTTTTCAATACATTGATCTACATAAAGCGAAACTCCGACAATCTCCCATCACATTTTTTTGTGTAATACCCTACGGTAAGGGTTTCTGGTAAGATCTCCCATTTAATGAAACGCCAACTTTCACAAAAGTAAGATGCAAATTTCGTCGACAAGTGACATGTACACTGTGGAGTAGCTGAGTGAATAATATTCTTTGTCTCATGGCTAGTATCAGAGATATAGATGTCTCTGCTAGTATATACTTTCCAAGGTAAACTTTAATGTTGATAGGACCGTGATGCTCTCTGACTTCGATTTGAACAACTAGATCCTAACTGGAAAGAGTGGTGATTGTGTAGTAATATGTCCCTTTTTATGTATATTTTAGCATTTATTCCTTTTATGTGTGTGCCCTTTGTCTAAAGGTGCTTCCTACCCTGGGTTAACAAGAAATGGGGTTCGGTAAATTAAGGTGCAGTTGCGGAAGCAACAGCTTCTAGGGGAGATAACTTCAGTTACGATTTAGGTAGCACACCACTTAATATTATCTCTGAGTAAATCAGTAATAAAATGGGTCAGAAGTTTCTTCAAAGTGGATTTTGATTTTGCATTTTTTGGTAATAAGAAGTTAATGAATTGTAAGTATTTCTGAGCTTCAAAACCCAGGTTGTTGTGTACACTTCTGTATTAGAAGTATATACAGTGTTGCATGATGGGATTCATTTGGTGGAAATAAAAACCCAATTCGTTGGTGTGCTACCTAGGTGTTCCATACAGATGAATAGCTTGCCATAAGCAAGTCTATGCAAATTAGAAAATAGCTATGCAAGTAGGCTTTGTGATTCTTATGTACCGACATTTACTCATATTTACAGTTAATTCATATCTATCATAGGTTATATTTTGCAAAGACAAACATATTTTTGTACCACATAATGCTCTGGTACCAAGTACGTCATATAATGGAATAACAATGTTTTAGGTGTCATAAAAATGTAAATATATTATGTGAAACCAACAACATGAATGTTTTATTTTTATTTATCAACGAAGTCGATACAGATACAACGTATTCTGCACAGTATTTATTGTTAAGCTTGACAACATAATTCAAAGCAGATAAAAACAGAATTCTTGAAATTCGGAAAGTCCAAAAGTGACATGGTTCCGAATATCATAAATTAGAGAAACGACCTCTATGATGTGTCGTTCACTGCTAATGAACTTGGTGTAAACTAGAGAAACGATCTCTATGATGTGTCGTTCACTGCTAATGAACTTGATGTAAACTAGAGAAACGACCTCTATGATGTGTCGTTCACTGCTAATGAACTTGATGTAAACTAGAGAAACGACCTCTATGATGTGTCGTTCACTGCTAATGAACTTGATGTAAACTAGAGAAACGACCTCTATGATGTGTCGTTCACTGCTAATGAACTTGATGTAAACTAGAGAAACGACCTCTATGATGTGTCGTTCACTGTTAATGAACTTGATGTAAACTAGAGAAACGACCTCTATGATGTGTCGTTCACTGCTAATGAACTTGATGTAAACTAGAGAAACGACCTCTATGATGTGTCGTTCACTGTTAATGAACTTGATGTAAACTAGAGAAACGACCTCTATGATGTGTCGTTCACTGCTAATGAACTTGATGTAAACTAGAGAAACGACCTCTATGATGTGTCGTTCACTGCTAATGTATTTGATGTAATCTAGAGAAACGACCTCTATGATGTGTCGTTCACTGCTAATGTACTTGATGTAATCTAGAGAAACGACCTCTATGATGTGTCGTTCACTGTTAATGAACTTGATGTAAACTAGAGAAACGACCTCTATGATGTGTCGTTCACTGTTAATGAACTTGATGTAAACTAGAGAAACGACCTCTATGATGTGTCGTTCACTGCTAATGAACTTGATGTAAACTAGAGAAACGACTTCTATGACGTGTCGTTCACTGCTAATTAACTTGATGTAAACTAGAGAAACGACCTCTATGATGTGTCGTTCACTGCTAATGTATTTGATGTAATCTAGAGAAACGACCTCTATGATGTGTCGTTCACTGCTAATTAACTTGATATAAACGATAAAGGTGTCCTCAACATAACGTTTAAAACACGACTCTCAAACAGAAAACATATATACTGGAGTTCGCTCTTGAACATCGATTTTGTAAGATCTTTAAAACCGAAACGTCCACTTTACATCCCGCCCCCAAATGTTTTGAGGGCCTACAAAGAATGTAATGCTTTAAATATATTATAAACTGCTGATTTAAATGTGCAAAAATAAGATATATCACTGAGTAACCACATAATTACCAAAGTAGGCACCCGTCTTCCGACTTCAATGAATTTCACGTTCTGAAGTTGAACTCGTATATCACACAAGTACAGAATGCTCTTTACATTCACTGAGAACGTAACTGATAAGAAACTTATCTGTCACCTTTATTAACAGGCATATGGTCTTCCCAGAATTACTGCCTTAAAATGGCTGTATTATTTGTATGGTGTCTCTTTGTCATGGTTCTTACTGGCGAAGTAGTAACACAAAGAGATTTCAAGAATGTCCAAAATCAGGTGATATCGTTACAGGGTATTGTCCAACATCTCGTTTCCGAGTTTGGAGATTTCCGTCATCAACATACAGAATTGCTCTCCGAGTTCGGAGATCTTCGTCATCAACATACAGAATTGCTCTCCGAGTTCGGAGATCTTCGTCATCAACATACAGAATTGCTCTCCGAGTTTAGAGATCTTCGTCATCAACATACAGAACTGGTCTCCGAGTTTGGAGATCTTCGTCATCAACATACAGAACTGGTCTCCGAGTTTGGAGATCTTCGTCATCAACATACAGAACTGGTCTCCGAGTTTGGAGATCTCCGTCATCAACAAACAGAACTGGTCTCCGAGTTTGGAGATCTCCGTCATCAACAAACAGAACTGGTCTCCGAGTTTGGAGATCTTCGTCATCAACATACAGAACTGGAGTATAGACGACGTAACAATGATCCGAGATACATCAGGTAACGCAAGAATTTCAAAAAAATAAATAAAGTTCTAAACTGGAAATTGTTGTGTTTAGACAATAACAACATAAGCATTTTATTTCAATTATCACATCGCAATAATGTTTACATTTACTATTTTTAACGACGGAGTCGCCGCGAACTCAATGAACCAGACAATCAACCGGATCACCAGCCTTGCACACGTCTAACTGACGAGGACGGAAACACGCGCAATACATCACGTGAGAAAACATCACTTGTCTTTAAATTCAATCTGTCATTTGTTGGATACGAGACATAAATGAAATAATACATTTAAGGTAGAAATATATTTATGAAATAACTCTCGTTGTGTCTGTCCTAAGGATATATTTTGTGAACTGTTTACCGTAAAAACTGTTGTTATTTTACTATAGCTACTCACGGTCAGAAAGGCGACAAGGGTGACATTGGTCAGAGAGGACCTAAAGGGGACAAAGGGATACCGGGATTTAACGGCGACGATGGACTGGATGGTAAAAAATAAACCACTGTAAACTATTAGCGAGTGCACGCGACACGAAGAATCTCGAAATAAAGCAGTTTAGAGGGTATATGTCGGTTTGAACTTCAATTTTACAGGCACCAAGGGTGAAAAAGGCAATCAAGGTGACACATGCGTAGGTGGACCAAAGGGAGAAACCGGACTTCCGGGACCAAAGGGTGAAAACGGATTAATGGGACCCCCGGGACTTCCAGGAATTAAAGGAGACGACGGAAGTGACGGTAAAATAAAACAAGGACCCGTATCGCTTACCGGAATAGTTGGACAATTTTGTTTGCAGTTATATTTTCATCTGCCTCCTTTGTCCGATATCGCTTCTTTGTCCTTAAGTTTCAATAGAATTAAAATCCTTTCGTCAGAAGGGTACACTTGCTCATTATTGAACTAAATTCCTTTATCCCTTTATGTGAACAGAAAAGGGTACAAATAGAGTTTAAACATCTATTTCCCAAATTGGTAAAAATTCAATTGGCAGATGGACGCCTTAGCATAAGACAGACAGAGGACGGACAGCATTAATGCACCAGTATTTTGGACAAGGCGAGTCAAAAATCCCAAATCTTAAAAAGGGAAAACTAATTGTGTACTCTCGTGCCCGTTCTTGTAGAGCTTTGACCATTAAATTTATACGAAGTTAACTAGGAACTCCTGTCCACTCTGATAATGTAGTTGTTACAGATCTGGTTGTCGGCGATAATGAGGAAGTTCCATGCTTATCTGTGATGGCAGTGTATTCAGCGTGACACAAACACTGTGATCAAAACCAATGACAGAAAACTTGTTGATTACAGCAATGTTATTATAATGATTTATTTACAATTATTAAGAAGTTAAATATGAACTGTTTTACAGGAGCACGAGGCGCTAAGGGAGAACCAGGGACTATTGGCGGACCAGGTTAGAACATTCTACGTAATTACCGTGTTATAAACTCAGGGAGAGGGTAGGGGTGGGGTGGGAGAGCTAGCATATAAGATCAAACTCATCTTAGGGAGATGAGTTTACTAAAGGACAAGTACAATACATCGGGATTATTGTTGGGCACGGGGGCTTAATGCCAAACAAAAATGGAATTGGATTTCAACAATGTTATATTTAATGAGATGATAAGTTACTTTACGCCACTGAAGGCTATGTGAAATAGGTTGGACGACAGTACCTCACTTCAGCCAGTCCTCAGTGAACTAGGTTAGTATTTCACTCCACTCAGTGCTTAGTGAACTAGGTTAGTATTTAACTCCACTCAGTGCTTAGTGAACTAAGTTAGTATTTAACTCCAGTCAGTGCTTAGTGGACTAGGTTAGTATTTCACTCCACTCAGTGCTTAGTGAACTAGGTTAGTATTTCACTCCACTCAGTGCTTAGTGAACTAGGTAAGTATTTAACTCCACTCAGTGCTTAGTGAACTAAGTTAGTATTTAACTCCAGTCAGTGCTTAGTGGACTAGGTTAGTATTTCACTCCACTCAGTGCTTAGTGAACTAGGTTAGTATTTCACTCCACTCAGTGCTTAGTGAACTAGGTAAGTATTTAACTACACTCAGTGTTTAGTGAACTAGGTAAGTATTTCACTCCAGTCAGTGCTTAGTGAACTAGGTAATTATTTCACTCCAGTCAGTGCTTAGTGAACTAGGTTAGTATTTAACTCCACTCAGTGCTTAGTGAACTAGGTAAGTATTTCACTCCAGTCAGTGCTTAGTGAACTAGGTTAGTATTTCACTCCAGTCAGTGCTTAGTGAACTAGGTTAGTATTTCACTCCAGCCAGTGCTTAGTGAACTAAGTTAGTATTTCATTCTACTCAGTGCATTTCACTCCAACCCGCTAGGTTGGTCAAGTGATTTATTCCGGGCCATAGTTGGGCGATAGTACTGAATCTCACTTCACACACACTTTAGTGGAATAGGTTGAACAACAATACACTACTTCCATTCCATCCAGAGCATAATGAAGAAGGTTGTACCATATAATTTCACTCGGGGCTTGGTGAACTAGGTTGGACGATTGTGCTCCACTCCACCCCGCTAGGAACAGGTTAGATTTAGGTTAAATCAATTATATATATACCAGAAAAAATGAACCTGTAGAGTATTTGAAATATTTGTGTTGTATCATAAAAAAACTAAAACGTCTTATCTTTATATACGTTTCATTACCTCAGGTAAACAGACAGGATTCTCGGCGCAGATCACCCACCAACTACAATTGGTAGGTGGAATTCCATTCACTCTACCGTTTGATAAAGTTGGAATCAATCATGGGAATGATTACAACCCAACAACGGGTGTGTTTATATGTAGTGTTCCCGGCACGTACGCCGTCACGTGGGTCCTTGAAGTCTCGTTGCACATCCAGTCCCATTTGATGAAAAATGGACGCGATATTGGACGTTTAACAGTATCTGGTTCTGTGGGGTTTTCTAGCACGGGTTCTCAAATGGTCCTGGTCACTCTGGAGGACGGTGATAAACTGTATATCAGCGTTAATCCCTTTATTTCGGGCTTCATTCAAACAGGTTCTTCGTTTACAGTGTTCCTGCTTCATTAATGAAGAGCGATATCTAATGATTTTAATACGTTGATAATGTTTTTGTCTTTGTTATTCATTGTAAATTGTACCTGATCAAAAAACATTGATTGGTGTTGTAGACAAATTGCACAACACTAGTTTGGTCATCCGACGTTCACATGGGGAAACTTTCGTCTGAAAAAGGTAGTCAAGTGTGTGAAATTTGATTAGAATCCCTTAAGGAATGAAGGGAAAAATTCAGTTTCTATTTTGTATAGTTGTTTTGCGACCCATCGACAATCCGGGGAGAACAAAAGCCAAAATATTCTCACAAAAAAAAAAAAAAAAAAAATTACACCAAACACAAATTAGGAAGTAAGAACGTTGAAACTCAAGTATTATAATACGTCTGTCGGTAAAATTTATCAAAATTCGATGCATGACAAGAAAAGACCTTTAGAATTTTCTAAAAACAAACGGCGACCTTGCCGCCTCAAACATGTCCAAGATATAATGGTCCTTTATAATTTGAAGTTTGTTCAAAATTTGTTAGAAAATAGTATTCAATCAATATTCCTTTTCTGTAGCATGTAAATTATCGGGACCCTGGGTTTTCTAAAAACCGATACCATTTTGAAAATGGGTAATTTATGTATGTAATGATCATTTATTTGACCCGTGACCTTGAAAGAGGTCAAGGTAATCTATATACCAAAAAATTCATGGTACTTCACTCCAGACATCACCCGACGAATTACCGGTATCAGATTGCTCAGTTTTCTAGAAGTTAGTCTACAAGACAAATTGACGACGGATCCTTTACCATGCCATGCGAGCTGAAATTCAAATTACTTCTGAACTATGAACATAGTGCTATGAAGAGATAATTTAACATATGCGTTAGAAGAATTCTACAGAAACAGCTTAAACCATCGTTCCTCAGGTAACAGAATATTAACTTTTACCGACAGCTGAATGTTAACCAATTACATGCCCCTCCTTTGGAGAAGTCCCCTACTGGAGTTACTGCTTGGTAAGAACCTAGAGGTGGGCGAGGTGTTACACAAACCGTATTAAGCTGGGCATATCCTGGTAAAGACAAGATAGATGGAAGCACACAGTTACAAGGTCTCGGATGGCGGTCCAACATTTATTTATTGCAGTCTTCCCTTTGTATAGTTTCATAATTAACCCTTCAATTAACAAGACGCACAGAATTGCTCACCTGTTCTCTAATTTTTTTCGTTTATACAAACGCAACCCTTCTCAGTATTTACATTGCAGGTGACGGAATTTGCTTTGTAGCCTTTCATAGAAATATGCTACGAGCCTACCAACAGTTCCCTTGGTCTTAAGGTTTAAGAGTAAGTAGTTAATTGAAAATTTCCATATATTTGACCACCGACCTTAAAAAACTGCCATTTTTTTAACAATCATGGCAGTCCTTCATCCCTGCATGTTACAGGAAAATCATCACTAACTGGGTACTTTTGGATATCGAGATAAAAATAACACTGACCCCCTGACCTTAAAAGTGGGTCAAGGCCATTTATTTGGTAACCTTCCTACTTCGTAAGCTTCAGTCCCAATTAGCTCTGTGCCTCTTGATTACCATACATTGAAAGGGAAAAGCTGATGCTGGACAGACTATTGTCAGCCCCCATCAACTGTCAAGCTTATGCTTTAACTGACAGTGAAAAGGGCAGCAACTCTGGCCAAACTTAGGACAAATTACCTGTCCTTCCACAGAAGCATCCTCTAAACGACTAATTCATCAGGGTGTTAACATAATCTTCACACAACTAAAATCATACAAGGTAATTACAAATTTATTTAAAAAATATTTCCATAACAATAATTTACATAATTAATATATGTACATATTACACAACAAATCAACAAACAGACAAGTGAAGATGTCAGTATCTTAATTTCTAGTACAGTGCATAAAACTGTTTAAAATTTCTATTTTACCATCAATAAAACCTTTCCATTAAAAATATAATCTTATGCTCTGATTTACTTCGAAATAAAGATCGGTATAGACAAATGTAAAACTAATTTCAGATCATTTGGAAAAGTTGAATCGAATATTAAATATTTCTTTAAATGAACCATGATGAACACTAGGGTTTCCTTTTCAATGTATGAACAAAACTTTAACATGAGAATTGCATCATTTTCTCAAAATTATCAAGGCACTATGAATTAAGTCAATGAGAATGGTATATAGTTAACTTCAGTAACATGATTTACCGACAATGTTCTCGAGTATATTTCATAAAATTAACTATGGTAGCTAAATCGCTTAAAATGTTTCAATTGTCTACATCATTTAAACATTAATCCTTTTATCAGATCCAAGCTAAAACAAGCACAAGTATTGCACAAGCATGAAAGTTTTAGCCAGTAACTGTGATTTTTGAACACTGTGAAATGTCCATACGATTGGAAGACATCTACTTGAGAATCTGAGGCGGCCTTTGTTTGCATACTCCACTGAAGTATGGATGTAAAAGAGCCGATTTGGCAGAAATTCTCTGGCTTGGTTCATATTTCAGCATCAACTACAAATAAAATAATTAAGAAATATTTATAAATAAAAAAGAAGAAAAATCAAACACCTTCCTAAATCACAACACACATATTGTGTGTAGTAAATTAAATTTTAAAATAAATGAAAATAAAATATTTCATTTTCAATGGTTTAAATTCTTAAAAACTTTACCATTAGAGGAATTCATAAAAAGCAAATAGTTTACTATTTGAAATCTTATTTCTAAGGTTGTCAACCCTATCTTCTCATCACCATGTCATACCATCTTATAAATCTGTAAAATCCTCCAGTGGGATTTCCCATTTGTTTTAATTGCATGCACCACCCCATTTAAAACGGACGTGCGAGATATTTTCCGACTGAAATTTCATTGTTTACCTTTACTTCGTGTCATTTGAATTTGCTGCCAACAATTTTAAATATCTGATTTTCCACACCGCAAACTCATTAATGAAAAGTTGACTGGTGATCATCACAACTTAGAAGGCCCCTAGGCCTTAACAGTCATCTGACTGGAGACTTCTCGTGGGAAAATGCATTAAATGGTTCTTACAGTTATCTACCTTTAAGCAGTAATGGTAGCAAGAAGTGTAAAATGTGTTTTTCAAGATGGCAGTATCAGAATGCTTAAAACATAAAACTGAATCCCACAGTTAGGACTTGACAAGTTTAACAAGAGTACCGCAAAGCGGTACAAAATACGCCCATGAATATCCAAAACAGCAAAGGGGCATAACTCTTATTCAAATCGTCTCATCAAAACCCCGTTCAGGAAAACAATTTCATATGGTGATTAAGCCTACCAATTTTCATAAAGATCGGCTGAAAAATGTTGGAGATCTCCGAACAAGATTTCTATAGGGAAATAAACAAAGGGCCATAACTTGTTCAAATCACCAAATCAAAACCCTGTTCAGGAAAAGACAACTTCATATCATGGTGATTAATCCTACTAAGTTTAATAAAGATTGGCTGAAAAATGTAGGAGTTCTCCAGACAAATGAAAGTTTACAACAGACAGCGCCATACCATAATACGTCCGTCTTTCGACGGGCGTATAAAAAGTGAAAAAAATTATACACAATGACAACAGGAGATGAAACAGGATAGATATAGGCTGTATAAACCGTTTAGTGGCAGGGGAGTATAGTAAGTTTATAATGAACATTTTATTTAGTGTTTTTATGTATTTTATTCATTGGTAATTGCAAAAGGTCTCCATTTTCCATATTGTGTATTTTAAAATAAATGTACTGGATTATATGATTAGATATTCACCTGCAGCAGTTCCAGTCCATCCCCAAGGAGGTTTGGGACAGCATTTGACACGCACTGTTGTGGCCACTTGGGAAAGGTGGACTTGTAGTCTGGCATCTGTGAAACTCCTGGCCAAGTGTTTTCATCTGGAGTACCTGTTGGGAAAATTTACAACCTTTATCACATTCAATAAAATAATATTTGTAGTCAGCAATCAAATTTTATTAATTTCAAATTTTAAAGAAAAACTTTTAAAATAAGATGCCTCAGCAGACATTTTCTTGAAAAAAATTCAGACATTTTCTAGAAAATCTTTAAGTGGGTTTTCGTGTTGGATGAGATCAATTACCTAAGGTACGGAATATCCGGAATAATTGGTCAATCTCGGAGTCTCCAGGGAACAATGGACGTCTGGTTATCTGTTGAAATGTATAAACATGTATATTCTGAAGAATAATGTGGATTATTATATCTATTTTGCAATAAGTTGATGTCTAGCAACAATTCAATCCATACAATATTTGAATTAGAAACCCATGCTACTTCATAGTTCAAAACTATACCTATAAAGGAATCGAGTAATTGTGACTTCAAATATTGTCAACTCAAAAGATATATATATGAGCAGCTTTTTACCTGCTATTTTATATTTCATTGTACATGACAGACCAGTGCAAAAATGTTTACATGTGTATATCGAAACATTTCTTCTCTGATGACCGTCGCTACAAACAATAAGTCAGCCAGGAACATGATTGATCAAGTTTAAATATTGGGTCATTTGGACATAACATGTGAAAAGTGTGGCTTCTCTTTTTAAATCCCCGAAAATCATTTTTTCACCTAGTTTTCACTCTATTGCCACAGACAGTTTCTTCTTTTGATGTGTATTAATTTATTTTGCTATGATATTGATTGGATTGATTAAAATACATACACATGTACAATCTACATTGTGCAATATAAATCTAAAATAAATATAAATTTTAGTGGCAGGCTTTTTTGACACAGTTTTTTAATGGTTTGGCAAGACATGTCCTATACTATTCCTGATTTTCAGAAACATATTGATCACAAATTATAGATTGAATTAAGAAAATTGGAAATCTTACCATTTCAGCAAATATTCCTCCCAGACTCCATACGTCAACTGGTGTAGAGTAAAATCGACTGCCTAACAGTATCTCTGGTGCTCTGTACCAAAGTGTAACTACCTGTAACATGAAAGTAGCATGTCTATAACTGTATCTCTGTTACCTTATATCACAGAGACACTAGCTGCATCACACAACCAACAACATATCTCACTGCTCTTATCACAGGGTTACTACTGACAACATAAAGTTTATTAGTCCCCAGAAACAATGGAAATGAGTTAAGCTGAAATGTTACCTCGTGTGTGTATGTTCGTACTGGCACACCAAATGCTCTAGCCAGTCCAAAGTCTGCCAGCTTGATATTGCCTTCAACATCTATTAAAAGATTCTGTGGTTTCAGGTCACGGTGAAGTACTCGATGGGAATGACAGTAGGCAACTCCTTTCAACAGCTGGTGTAGGTAACTCTACAAATTACAAATTTAATCATCAAATACTACCACCTAAAAACTTTGAACAGCACAAAGTTTACAAAATTCTGCATTAAAATAGAAATGTCTGCAGGTCCAATAATAGGTTTGTACTCGTATATAAGATGTTTCATTTGATCTGATTTTACCTCTGAAAGGTAAATTGACAAACTTCTAACACTTCCTTAAAGATACTGAACAAAAAATTTAAGGATCATAAAATGTTTTTTCAGCCATTGAAATAAATTAAGCTTGACACTCCCTGACCATCAATTATCACCAATATAAGCTTTCCCTGTTTTGAACATTTATTAGCACGAGACGTCACATTTTCTTCCTGTTTCATGTCACTCTGGTATTTCATATTTCAAACTTTTTTTGCTTTTTGATAAACAAATATCTTTTAATAGGGATCCCAAACTTTGTGTGCCCAGTAAATTACAAAAATGAAAACTAATGCAAGATTAGCACAGAACTTTGGCAATTATTTGTGACAACTGTATTATTAAACCGATACAAAATCTAAACTCGCAGTACTCTTTCATGTCACAATGGGAACCTTAGCCAATAAAATCAACTTTAACATAAGTCACATTATACAACAATTTCCAACAACAGGGTACTTGTCACAAGATTATAAAACTGATCTTAAAAGTTCAACAATCTGAGCAAATAGTTGAAAATAGTTATATACCTTAATTAGGGAGGAAGGCAGCCCTGAAGGAGGACAGCTGTCCATGTACTTCTTCAGATCCTGGTTGAGGTATTCAAACACCAGGTACAACTTCTTTTCACTGTGAACCACATCTAGAAGTCTGAAAATTACACAAGAGACCATTGTTTTGGACACAAGTTTTCAAACTAAATCAACTACCTATATTTGGTACTAAAATTTGTGACCCATAGGATCCCCGTTTCTCCTATTGGACACTTTCCTTAAGGCCCATCATGTCCACAACTACAAGTTCCCTTCATCCAAGCCAGATTCAATTAAGGACAGTCTAGCTGCTGTTGCATGAAAGGCAAGTGCATGTGATGGTTTTGAGAGGCTGCATTATGTTTGTAATGGTGCAGAAATGAAGTCGACTTCATGGTGTTGCCACATTAAAGTGTCCAACATCCCCAAGTAGGACATCACATTCAGTTATGGGATACTATAAAAATGGGCAAAGCCAGCTGTTAAACAATATACAATAATGGAAGTTCAGCAGGAGGTAGTATCTGCTATGTCTCAGCAAAGGGAGGGATCCCAAAGTCTTCCTCAAAGGGACAACCACACAACTTTAGGTATAAATTGTGGGAGTATCAAGGGAGATATTGTGATGAAAGACCTTCACCCAGGAATATTTCAAACCAAATGCAGACAAAATCAAATCATTTTGGCCCTGCCACTGGGAGAATAGAGACCCATCCTTCATACAAAATTCATTTCATTCAAAGATACTTCAGACCAGATTCTGACAGAATCACAACATTCCTACAGGATGGTTTAAAAATATTTGCTCCATTTCCCCTTTTTGGCCCCATGACCCACTGTATACACAAAACTGATTCCCTTCACCAAAGGATGTTTCAGACCAATTGAGACATAATCTATACACCCCTAATGAAGTATTTTGAAACATTCATCCCCCTTTCCAACATTTGGTTCCTGCCCCTCAGACCCAAAGATAACTCGGACCAAATCTGGATCAAAATCTGCTTCAGGACTAGTAGTGATTTCCTTTGTACCAGATAAGTTAAGAATTCATACACCATTGTCAAAAAAAAAACAACAAATAAAATAAATAAATAACAAAAAAAACAGCAGGACATTAGGGCATTATGAATGCAAGATTTTTCAGTTCTCAATGTTTATAAACTTTAGATGAAACTTACTCTACAGATATGAATTTACCACTCCCATCTTTCTGTAATCTTTGTTCCACATATATCAAGTCAAAACATGATAGCAAGTAGTTAATGGATTTCATATTCTAAATTAATCACATCTAATTGGTCTGTAGTAGTAGTAAATCTAATGAAAATAAAGAAAAGGGTGCATCAGCATCTTGGCTTTGGTTGATATTGTCAGAATGGCTTGGATAGCCATCAAAGCAACATCATCATCATTATAATCTGCCCAAGTTAAAATTACAGCTCTCCCATAATCTGATGGATTACACATGCATGAACTTTTGCCTTTCAGTATTTCTCCTTCTCTAATTATCTATAAGAATTGCATGCAGATGATTTTTGGCCTCTCCACACTGAACCAAGCAGGCTGTGATACAACTACAAATTACTGCATCACAGCCACTTGATCAGTACTGCAGACCCTTTTCTCGTCAGTGCCTGGAACAACAAAAACAGTACATTCCATGTATCACATGGTTTTAATCTCTTCCCCACACATGTATGCAATGTATTTCTGTCAACACTGCTTGAAGATTTTATTTTAATTTTCCACATTGCTCGTCAAAACAGCAGGAAAATTCACTTGGATCCCTTTTACCAAAAAGACATTCCAGACTTGTGACCATAGGTAAAAAAAATGAATAAATATTCTTTAATTAATATGGGAAGTTTGATGGGGATGGTTGGGAGCAGTGTTAAAGTCATGTGGACGCCAATGAAAGATGTGATCCATGTTTTTTCTCAATGACCTATATTTTGTCCATGCACTGTAGCAATATCACATCCTGTCTCCATTTTATTTATTATAACATTTTTATGTTAGCTTCTATGGACAAGAGTCTAGATATCCTGACTACTGTCAATGTGAGTGAGAGATTTTGAAATTCAATGAGAGAAAAAATAGCCAACTCTAACACACTCCTTTACAATTGCCAAGTTGCTCTCAAAATGGAGCCAATGGTATGTTTTTAACCATTTTTGTTGAAATTGTTGTACCTTCTAATATTTAGGATTTGGTGTGTCAGAGGGCATTTCAGTATCTGCAGTTTTGTGCAGTTACTTGGCCAAACATCGCAAAACTTTTCCGCTGGTCGGCCATGTTGCCTGTACCTACTTTCGGAAAATTTTGGACAGCATTACAGCTTAATGAAAACACAAGACTTCCGTTGTCCAATTCGAGTTACCTCCCGTCTACTTTATACTCGACCACGAGATCGAGGAGTTCCAGTATACAACACACAAATGCAAGAATTTCTCACTTTACATCAGAATTTCACGCGAGATACACAATTTTTCTGCGATAATTCACGCCTCAAACGATCCCTGCATAAATTAGAAACCGACATGGACACAGAAATGCTCAATCATTGATGAAATAATCTGACAATACCATACAGGTAATATAATAACAGGTGTTGTAGGTGATCTGGTGTAGACGAAGATGCCTTTTCATTCTACAAATTTCAAAGGAATCTGACAGACATACAACTACTTTCCACTCATTTTGTTTGCAAATTGCTTACAATGGCCAAGGAGGATCTGTGTCAAGGGGGAAAGCATCACAACAAATGCCTTAATGATTTCTTAATTCTTCCTTCAGATACCATGGTACATATAGGTTCAAACATTCACAAAATTCTGAAACAGAACATTTACACTTTGACATCAATAGAAAAACAATTTTCGAAAGTATCTTTCTTTTCCAATTTTATTCCATCCTTCGTAGTTCCTAATTGCATCCGGCCTATCTCCTTCAACAGACTCTTTTTTTAAAAAAAGATATATGGCTAAGGAGCCATTCGGACAATTTTGCTAACAGAAGATACAAAGACTTGTCCGTTATTAGGATAAGGCCAACCCTCTGGCATCACCCGAATACAACTTCCATATATTGAGTGTCTTGGAAAATGTTAAAAATATCAATTTTGGGTCTAAACATAAAATTATATTTTTCCCCAATGTCTAAAGTGTCACTGAATAGAAATGTTTCTGGTGCTGCCAGAAATATCCAGCACTGTCCAAGCAGGCTGTGATATATGAACATTACACTACATCTCAACCACTTAGGCAGGGCTGGAAAATGAACTCTTCAAATCTTCACTTTCATCTCCAATCTGCAAATAAAACTGAGCTGACAAGTTATATAACTCCGTATTTCTAATAAGTTGTGTTTAACAACCAAAGTCACAGATGGAAGAAATTTCACACTATGCACTGTCCAAGCAGACTGTGATATAGATAAATAGCATTACATCTCAATCTCTTGAGCAGGGCCAAGTTAATGAATTAAGCGTCCATGAAAATGACTTGATGGTATTTATGTGGCTGCAGTGAACAGCCAACAAAGTTGATTTGAAAAGTCGTGGCACTGACCAAGCTGCTGTGATATATTTTGAACATATTTACATCACAAAGCAACTTCACCAGTGTCACAACTCTAACATCTCTTTTAAGCATTCCATAAACATATAATGATGCGTCACACCTATTTCCATGCAGTATTTACATATTTGTGAAGAGCCAGAAAAATCATCAAGTGTTGAGAAATTAGACATGCATTTACCATCCCTATAATGTAGATCGTCCAAAACCATACCATCTTTTTATATGGCAAATGCACATGCTTTTGTGTATATACCTGACGACACTCTGATGGTCCAACTCTTTCAAAAGTGAGATTTCACGAATGGCTGTGCTTGGAACTCCCTCTGATTCACTGCAGAACAAAGAAACAACAGTAAATAAATAGTTATGAAATTCGTTTTGAAATGGAAATTAAAATAATAATTATTCAACGTTAATCTACCCTTATGTAAAATCTCGTACTTCACATATCGATAGTGATGTATTCTAATGGAAGATTTGCCCCGCTGTAACTTGTGAATTCCAGAGAACGTTTTTAAGTGTCCATACATTCTAATGTTTTAAGTGTAATTTTCAACATATCTATGCCTGATGAAATCTCTGTCAACGGATTAACAATTATAAAAAAATAGAAACCCTTTTTCCCCAGCAACAGAAACAATTTAGCTTTAGCCGTGGGGTCCTGGACCGACATAGCGTGGACAGTACGGTCAGAAATCACAGAGTAGTAACTTACGCATCGAGCCGAATCTTCTTCAGGGCTACCAGGCGACCTGTCGTCTTATCACGAGCTTTGTATACTACACCATATGTCCCTTCGCCAATTTTCTCGATTTTTTGGAAATTTTCCATCTTACACTGTTTATTTTTCCTCCATTTGTCTTCTTTCGTCGGAAATCTCGACGCCTTGCTGCTACCGGACCTTTGTGTTGATGTCTCGTCCGCCAATGGATTTTCCCGCGTATTTCGTGATGTTAAGATATCTCATTCATCTGATTGGCTAATAATCTCCCACCCACGCCGCTATTTTTAGTAGAAAGGCGGGGACTGTTGTGTCCCATGACTTTTCATTGATACAGCCATTTCCCGCACATATGCCTAATTCAGCATTTTTTCATGCCTGTGTTAAATTTGCTCAGTGTTCGGAAATAAACTTACAGCTCTGTGGATGTTTAAACTTACAAATTATCATCACATGTTGTTAGAATAAATAATAAATCATATATGATCTTTATGTTTTTTTTCTTTTGTTTCCTTGTTCTAGTATCGAAATATTGTTCGGTTTTCTATGCAAGTAATGCACATGTATAATTTTACCTACTTTTATTTAGCTGTGTCTATCATGTTTTCGAAAGTGGAGTGATGTAGTATTATTGTGTTTTGGCCACGTGCATAGATACATATTTTTTTTAATACTGAAAGAATGAATAATTGAAATTTATGCACGTCTTCGTTAATTTTTAATAACAAAGTAATAAATAATAAAAATAAACAAAAAAAAATATTATCAGACTTCCTCGTGAGTTCTATGAGGCAATACATATAACGTAAAAGTCCGAAATTTTACATTCTCATTCGATGGAATATGTTTACTATGGTAAAACATATTTGTTTATGTTAAATATTGCTTAAAAAATTACTCACCCGCACTAGGAACGGGAATTTCTTTTCTCGTGGATGATACAGTTTTCCCCTACCATTAACGACTGATAATGAAACAGAAAATGTTAGGCATTTAAATGTATGGTAACAATTTCTTAATAATTACTTTAATGTGTGGAATAAGGGAGGTGTTAATTAAAACACTTAAACTTCCTGTTATGACACGTGACCTGTTTCACGTGTGAAGGCTTAAAGGTACGGCATTGTTGTCATATAATCCGTTTGAACAAATATTGTCACATGCATTCATGCATGACTCCTGTTGATCGAGGGCTTGAGTGATTACGTAACGAGATCACTAAGCCCGGTAATGCCACTAGGGCTGCAACTATTGTGTCGTAAATGTCATATATGCCCAAGCTGATGATAAAATAGATATATAGATAAAGACGGACTTATATCTAAGTAGGTGAGATTACTTGGAAGTTTGTCCAACAATGAACCGAAGATATCACCGGGAGAGTTATGAAATATGATACTGGTAATACAGTAAGTTAAGTTAAAACCTCTGATTTGACTTGATCCATGATAAAAGTTGAGGTCAGTTTTTTATAACAGTTGTAACATGCGACTATTGATGTCAATACGCTGTTATGTGGTCAGTTATATGACTGTTAACATCTTTGGACTGCTAGACGGACATTTAACATTGCTGTTTATGTAAATGGACCTCTAGACAGACAGTGATATATCTGATCACGTCATTGGACCGCTAGACGGACAGTGATATATCTGATCACGTAAACGGACAGCTAGACGGACAGTGATATATTTGATCACGCAAACGGACTGCTAGACGGACACTAATGTATCTGATCATGTCATTGGACCGATAGACGGACAGTTATATATCTGATCATGTCATTGGACCACTAGACAGACAGTATGATATCTTATCATGTTAATGGACCTCTAGACGGACAGTAATATATCTGATCATGTCAATGGACTGCTAGACAGACAGTATGATATCTGATCATGTCATTGGACCGCTAGATGGACAGTAATATATCTGATCATGTCATTGGACCGCTAGACGGACAGTATGATATCTATACAGACAGTAATATATCTGATCAAGTCAATGGACCGCTAGACGGACAGTAATATATCTGATCACGTAAACGGACCGCTAGATGGACAGTAATATATCTGATCATGTCATTGGACCTCTAGACGGACAGTAATATATCTGATCATGTCATTGGACCGATAGACGGACAGTTATATATCTGATCATGTCATTGGACCACTAGACAGACAGTATGATATCTGATCATGTCATTGGACCTCTAGACGGACAGTAATATATCTGATCATATCAATGGACCGCTAGACGGACAGTAATATATCTGATCACGTAAACGGACCGCTAGATGGACAGTAATATATCTGATTATGTCATTGGACCGCTAGACGGACAGCAAGATGTCTGATCATGTCAATGGACCTCTAGACAGACAGTATGATATCTGATTATGTCAATGGACCGCTAGACGCACAGTAAAACATCTGATCATGTCAATGGACCTCTAGACGGACAGTGATATATCTTATCACGTAAACGGACAGCTAGACAGACAGTAATATATCTGATCATGTCAATTGACCGCTACACGGACAGTAATATCTGATCATGTCAATGGACCGCTAGACGGACAGCAAGATATCTGATCATGTGAACGGACCGCTAGATGGACAGTAATATATCTGATCACGTAAACGGACCGCTAGACGGACAGTAATATATCTGATCATGTCAATGGACCGCTAGACAGACAGTATGATATCTGATCATGTCATTGGACCTCTAGACGGACAGTAATATATCTGATCATGTCATTGGACCGCTAGACAGACAGTAATATATCTGATCATGTCAATGGACCGCTAGACAGACAGTATGATATCTGATCATGTCATTGGACCTCTAGACGGACAGTAATATATCTGATCATGTCAATGGACCTCTAGACGGACAGTAATATATCTGATCATGTCAATGGACCTCTAGACTGACAGTAATATATCTGATCATGTCATTGGACCGCTAGACAGACAGTAATATATCTGATCATGTCATTGGACCGCTAGACAGACAGTAATATATCTGATCATGTCATTGGACCGCTAGACAGACAGTATGATATCTGATCATGTCATTGGACCTCTAGACGGACAGAAATATATCTGATCATGTCATTGGACCGCTAGACAGACAGTATGATATCTGATCATGTCATTGGACCTCTAGACGGACAGTAATATATCTGATCATGTCAATGGACCTCTAGACGGACAGTAATATATCTGATCATGTCATTGGACCGCTAGACGGACAGTAATATATCTGATCATGTCATTGGACCGCTAGACAGACAGTATGATATCTGATCATGTCATTGGACCGCTAGACAGACAGTAATATATCTGATCATGTCATTGGACCGCTAGACAGACAGTATGATATCTGATCATGTCATTGGACCGCTAGACAGACAGTAATATATCTGATCATGTCAATGGACCTCGGACAGTATATATCTTATCACGTACGGACAGCTAATAATATATCTGATCATGTCAATGGACCGCTAGACGGAGATCAGTAATATATCTGATTATGTCATTGGACCGCTAGACAGACAGTAAGATATCTGATCATGTGATTGGACCTCTAGACAGACAGTAATATATCTGATCGTGTCATTGGACCGCTAGACAGACAGTGATCCAATGGACCGCTACACGGACAGTAATATCTGATCATGTCAATGGACCGCTAGACGGACAGCAAGATATCTGATCACGTGAACGGACCGCTAGATGGACAGTAATATATCTGATCACGTAAACGGACCGCTAGACGGACAGTAATATATCTGATCATGTCATTGGACCGCTAGACAGACAGTAATATATCTGATCATGTCAATGGACCGCTAGACAGACAGTATGATATCTGATCATGTCATTGGACCGCTAGACGGACAGTAATATATCTGATCATGTCATTGGACCGCTAGACAGACAGTATGATATCTGATCATGTCATTGGACCGCTAGACAGACAGTATGATATCTGATCATGTCATTGGACCTCTAGACGGACAGTAATATATCTGATCATATCAATGGACCTCTAGACGGACAGTAATATATCTGATCATGTCATTGGACCGCTAGACGGACAGTAATATATCTGATCATGTCATTGGACCGCTAGACAGACAGTATGATATCTGATCATGTCATTGGACCGCTAGAGGGACAGTAATATATCTGATCATGTCATTGGACCGCTAGACAGACAGTATGATATCTGATCATGTCATTGGACCGCTAGATGGACAGTAATATATCTGATCATGTCATTGGACCGCTAGACAGACAGTATGATATCTGATCATGTCATTGGACCGCTAGACAGACAGTAATATATCTGATCATGTCATTGGACCGCTAGACAGACAGTATGGTATCTGATCATGTCATTGGACCGCTAGTCAGACAGTATGATATCTGATCATGTCATTGGACCTCTAGATGGACAGTAATATATCTGATCATGTCATTGGACCGCTAGACAGACAGTATGATATCTGATCATGTCATTGGACCGCTAGATGGACAGTAATATATCTGATCATGTCAATGGACCACTAGACGGACACTGATATATCTTATCACGTAAACGGACAGCTATACAGACAGTAATATATCTGATCATGTCAATGGACCGCTAGACGGACAGTTATATATTTGATCACGTAAACGGACTACTAGACAGACAGCAAGATATCTGATCATGTCAATGGACCGCTAGACGGGCAGTAATATATCTGATCACGTAAACGGACCGCTAAATGGACAGTAATATATCTGATCACGTCATAGGACTGCTAGACGGACAGCAAGATGTCTGATCATGTCAATGGACCTCTAGATGGACAGTAATATTCCTGATCACGTCAATGGACCGCTAGACAGACAGTATGATATCTGATCATGTCAATAGACTGCTAGACAGACAGTAATATATCTGATCATGTCAATGGACTGCTAGACAGACAGTATGATATCTGATCATGTCAATGGACCGTTAGACGGACAGTAATATATCTGATCATGTCCATGGACCTCTAGACGGACAGTAATATATCTGATCATGTCCATGGACCTCTAGACGGATAGTAATATATCTGATCATGTCCATGGACCTCTAGACGGACAGCAATATATCTGATCACGTCCATGGACCGCTAGACAGCAAGATATCTGACCATATCATTGAACTGCTAGACAGCAAGATATCTGATCATATCATTGAACCGCTAGACAGACAATAGTATATCTGATCACATAAACGAACATCTGACGGACAGTAATATATCTGATCATGTTAATGACCTGCTGGATGGACAACAATATATCTGATCGTGCCAATGGACAGCCAGATGGGCCCTAATATGATATATCAATATCATCTTACAGTGTTAAGTTCAATTGAGCATTATATGGCCAGCTGTCAGATTTGACTAATCAGGGTCAAAAGATAACGAAGATAAGAAGAAAAGAATGACATAACACAATGCATTACATTCTGCATTAACAGCACCATTTTAATAGATAAAAACAAATTACAACAGATATACATTTAATTCACAGGTCAGTCTTGCCATAAATCTGTAACAATATAGTAGAACTGAAATGCTATACTGTTGTACAATGACTTAATTAAATCCAAAAAACACCAATGTGATGATGGAACTTTCACACATTATTTTTGTTCCACTTCAAATGGAACATTCAGTATTTTGTTAATTGATCAAGCGAAAATGATTTTGGCATAAAATGATAATGACATCACAAATGTTTTACTTTGTATCAATGAATATATAAAGCACGTAGTGGCTAATTTTATTGAAGAGGAATGAGTTCTACTGAAATACAAAAACACTGTGTCTTTATTGTACTTTTATCATATCTCCACACTGAGGTAAAGATATAACACAACTCAACAGTGATGCCAGGATATAATGTCAAACACACTGTACATGACATCCTGACTCCATGTGTCATGTTACAATGTCAAACACACTGTAAATGACATCCTGACTTCATGTGTCGTGTTACAATGTCAAACACACTGTAAATGACATCCTAACTCCATTTGTCATGTTACCATGTCAAACACACTGTACATGACATCCTGACACCATGTGTCATGTTACAATGTTAAACACACTGTAAATGACATCCTGACTCCATTTGTCATGTTACCATGTCAAACACACTGTACATGACATCCTGACTCCATGTGTCGTGTTACAATGTCAAACACACCGTAAATGACATCCTGACTCCATGTGTCAAGTTACAACATCAAACACACCGTAAATGACATCCTGACTCCATGTGTCAAGTTACAATGTCAAACACACAGTAAATGACATCCTGACGCCATGTGTCGTGTTACAATGTCAACACACTGTAAATGAAATCCTGACGCCATGTGTCGTGTTACAATGTCAAACACACTGTAAATGACATCCTGACTTCAAATATCACATTATAAAGTATTCTACTGGAAAACCTGACTTCATATTGGTATCAACTTGTCATGTTCGTTATAAATGTAATGAAACCTACCTACCTACATGCCAAGGATATTATTGTCTTATCAAAGAAATATAATCACTTCATTTGAAAAAAGGAATGTCATTAAGCTTATCATATTTATCAACATTTTGAAAATGAATGATGCAAAATAAAGAGAAAATTTTAATGGAAAAATCAGATTAGAAAGAGATTAGCTAATATTAATTCAAAAGACATTGTGTATCTAGTAACTCACCTGAAATCAATCACCTTCTAGTCCTCATAAGTTTTTTACTTCTCATTCACAACTTTATTGTAAATACAAGTTGATTTAACAGGAAAAAAGTACTTATACATTCTGATAATTTTAAATGAGATACAGAGATGATGGATCTTCTAGTGATAGAGTTACTGAGACAGTCAACATGTACCTACTGATTAAAGTCCATGACCAAAACCAGTAACAAACAGAACACTGAATGACTGGCAAAAACATTACCACATCATCACTATAGTGTGACATATATACATATAATTTATATATTGTTTAGTCATTCCCCCTATCCAGTTTGGTGTAACCTGTACCTGTATCAACAAAAATGTACAACTTCATTTTATCTTCTTTTTATTCTATATTCAAATGTGTCAGAAAAATCTTATTATTGTCGATCTTTTCTGTAATGATAGATGTTGATATGAGATCTATTATACTCATGAAGTTTATCCAGAATCCAATTTATATGAGCGAGGAATACTCATCAAATCTCTTCATTCAAAGAAAGAAAGTGTAAAATTCACTATATATAGAATATGGGTAAAACTTCTTTGGAAGGATTCTGTCAACAAGCTGTCTGAAAACTCTATATTTTTCTTCCTGAAAATAGCTGTGAATGTGACCAAGGAAAGACTCCAATCACATCTTTGTAAAGTGAGTAAGATTAAGCACTTGGAATATTCTTAAAAAGTCAAACCAGTACAAAGTAGAAGATAAGACAGGCATAATGACATATAGACTCTTGTTAGGCCTTTTCAATATGGAGCGCATACCATAATATACTGTGTGCCAATATAATGTTTTAGATGAGCTATGCCCAATACAAATGAAGCCAAAACAATCAAAACCTGACATAACATTCCAAAATTTGTAAACTTGGGTAGAAACATTGATATCAACTATATAGTTGTAAGCAGGAAGTGTTCCAACACTTGTGAATCATGTCAGACTAAGTCACATAGATTTTTTTTATCTAAGATGACATGCTTTACATACAAATGATAATTTCACTTTTATACATGGGGCACAAACAACAGTTTGCATGCACACATAACAATATCATCTCATACAACACCAGAACAGCATATACTCAACTATAAAACATTTAAACAAATATAAGCCAAATATATAACAATTTTGAAGTACATACAAAGATTTAAGAAATCTTTGCCAGTTCTTGGGTTTCAAAATAATATCAAAAGCAATGAAATACGAACTATTATATCTAACATCCTGTGAAATTGATAAAACATTACTTGATTGAAAAATAAAAAGAAATAAAAAGTTAAATAAGAAGCATTTTGACTGAGTTGCAAAGTTTCAATGCTGTTACCAGAAAATTCTAATTCATTCATTCTAATTACTTCACTACCTATGATGGCTCCATCAGGTAGAACATTGCCCTACATAACATTAGGTGTAAATCTCAAGTGTGTGGTGTGATACTCCCTCCAAGTGATGATATGTGTTTCTTTCAAAGCTGAGAAAAGGACCAGTCTAGCTGACATAGTTGTGTCCTTGGGTAAGACAGTAAACTCTAATTGTTGTGAATGCATACAACAGACCTCCCATATGTTGTTCAGTGAAGTAGCCACCAGCTGCTACAAGGAGACCTCACCTCAAAATGACCCTGGTTATTTAAGGGGCAATAAACCCAGCTCACATACAAATAAACAGAAAGAGCATCTGGAGTGTGAGACAACTGCATCATTTACATAAGGAAAAAAAGTCAACAGTCTGTTAAAACACTAACTGGATAATATGAGATCTTCATTAAAGAGGCATGACAGTGAAGGATGAAGTAGATCACTTTACTGAACAAGTGAAAATGAATAACCATCAGGTACACTGGACAAAATGGCTATACAGTTGCTGATAAGATAACAGGTATAAACTGTGCAAAATCACAACAGGACGGAACTGTTAAAACTCAAAAATGCATAACCATAATAATTGCATTATCAAGAATACTAAGGGTAGCAACAAGGTGTAATCAGTGGAGACTTCAATCATGCCTGTTTCACTATTGATACAGTAATACTTTGTCAATGTCAGTACAAGTTTTTACTCTTCCAAAGACACTTCTGGGGTTCGACATTCTATCGGTTCATTGTTTAGAGACTAGTATTAATCCTTTTGACGTCAAATGTTTTATTCTTAATATCACAATTCTGATGACATACTACACAATATAAATTTTCCAAGTTGAACACAAAAAACTGAATCAGATGTAGAACTAGCATCATGCTAGGAAGAACTCTCCACAGCTGGAGGTACAGAAGTAGTCTCCTTAAAGGTGCTTGATGCATCTTGGAATTCAGTGCTGTTTGTTGTGCCTTCTCCATTTGTTACTCTCTCACTCACCTCTGCTTTCTCATCTAAAAAAAAGGAAATGGGAGAGTACAGCAAATAGTGTAAAGAGATAGCAACATTGTGTTGTTGGACTTTGTCAACATGATAATTCAGGCTTTTGTTTTTAACCATACTGCTGATACTATAATCTGTCAATTTACTTAATGTATGTATCACACTACCTGTGATAAATGTGGATATCTGATGGACCAACTTTGAGCTTTCTTTAGAATGACTACATACCACCATTCTGAATTTTGGCCTCACACAACTTTTTCTGAATTTCCTCTTGTTCCTTTCTCATCTTCTCTTTCTCCTCTTCTGCTTTCTTCAGTTTTTGTATGGATTCATACTCATCTAAAAAGGTGAAAAAATGGAAATTAATATTGGAAATATTCTTTATTTTCTTTAACAGAACAAATTACATTACATACATCATTGTATCACATTTTTACAAGATCTACCTTCAATGTAAATGTATTTAACTGAAAAGAACTAAGTTCCTGGAGAAATGTGCTGATAAGACAGAGATGGATCAGTTAACAACTCTACCATCAAGTAAACAATTGGTCATTAACTTAGCCATCAAGTAAACAATTGGTCATTAACTTAGCCATCAAGTAAACAATTGGTCATTAACTTAGCCATCAAGTAAACAATTGGTCATTAACTTAGCCATCAAGTAAACAATTGGTCATTAACTTAGCCATCAAGTAAACAATTGGTCATTAACTTAGCCATTTGGTCATTAACTTAGCCATCAAGTAAACAATTGGTCATTAACTTAGCCATCAAGTAAACAATGTATTAACTTAGCCATCAAGTAAACAATTGGTCATTAACTTAGCCATCAAGTAAACAATTGGTCATTAACTTAGCCATCAAGTAAACAATTGGTCATTAACTTAGCCATCAAGTAAACAATTGGTCATTAACTTAGCCATCAAGTAAACAATTGGTCATTAACTTAGCCATCAAGTAAACAATTGGTCATTAACTTAGCCATCAAGTAAACAATTGGTCATTAACTTAGCCATCAAGTAAACAATTGGTCATTAACTTAGCCATCAAGTAAACAGTCTTTTTCAAACCTGTCCAGTTGACTTACCTGCCAAATTTTTACACATCTTTTTGTGTGTAGACCAGTGAAGCTTCTGACAGCGGGCATCACAGTACCTCACCTGACAATTACAAATGCAATATTAACACAGTCCTGAACAATTCTTTTCAAGTCCATAAATATCAGACAAGGTACAAATGAAGGACCTAATGGTTCATTGAACATAACTCTATATAGCAACATGACTCTCAAAAGCAATAGAAAGCTCAATATACGTGCCCTTTCTTGCTCCATGATGAGCAATCAGTCATATTGGTGTAGCTTATACATGCAAAAAAATGACTGACATTTCACTGATTTGTTGGAAGAAATTATCCATCAGGTCATGTCATATCTAAAATGAAGCTGATGCATAAATACAGCAAATAAACCTTTAATCTAACTTTCAGTGTAATTCCAATGATTATTTCATCACCATAACACACATTTAATAGTGTGATAATATTTTAGATAGCAATTTGAAAAGTAACAGTGCAGAAATGTCTTTTTTAACCTGATAACGTTGACAGATCGATCATGATAATCTTTTTAACCTGGCTACATGGACAGATTGATCATGATGATAATCTTTTTAACCTGGCTACATGGACAGATTGATCATGATGATAATCTTTTTAACCTGGCTACATGGACAGATTGACCATGATGATAATCTTTTTAACCTGGCTACATGGACAGATTGATCATGATGATAATCTTTTTAACCTGGCTACATTGACAGATCGATCATGATGATAATCTTTTTAACCTGGCTACATGGACAGACTGACCATGATGATAATCTTTTTAACCTGGCTACATGGACAGATTGATCATGATGATAATCTTTTTAACCTGGCTACATGGACAGACTGATCATGATGATAATCTTTTTAACCTGGCTACATGGACAGATTGATCATGATGATAATCTTTTTAACCTGGCTACATGGACAGACTGATCATGATGATAATCTTTTTAACCTGGCTACATGGACAGACTGATCATGATGATAATCTTTTTAACCTGGCTACTACCAAATTTTGATGATGATAATCTTTTTAACCTGGCTACATGGACAGATTGATCATGATGATAATCTTTTTAACCTGGCTACATGGACAGATTGATCATGATGATAATCTTTTTAACCTGGCTACATGGACAGATTGATCATGATAATCTTTTTAACCTGGCTACATGGACAGATTGATCATGATGATAATCTTTTTAACCTGGCTACATGGACAGATTGATCATGATGATATAACCTGGCTACATGGACAGACTGATCATGATGATAATCTTTTTAACCTGGCTACATGGACAGATTGATCATGATGATAATCTTTTTAACCTGGCTACATGGACAGACTGATCATGATGATAATCTTTTTAACCTGGCTACATGGACAGACTGATCATGATGATAATCTTTTTAACCTGGCTACATGGACAGATTGATCATGATGATAATCTTTTTAACCTGGCTACATGGACAGATTGATCATAATGATAATCTTTTAAACCTGGCTACAAGGACAGATTGATCATGATAATCTTTTTAACCTGGCTACATGGACAGATTGATCATGATAATCTTTTTAACCTGGCTACATGGACAGATTGATCATGATGATCTTTTTAACCTGGCTACATGGACAGATTGATCATGATGATAATCTTTTTAACCTGGCTACATGGACAGATTGATCATGATGATAATCTTTTTAACCTGGCTACATGGACAGATTGATCATGATAATCTTTTTAACCTGGCTACATGGACAGATTGATCATGATAATCTTTTTAACCTGGCTACATGGACATGATATATCTTTTTAACCTGGCTACATGGACAGATTGATCATGATAATCTTTTTAACCTGGCTACATGGACAGATTGATCATGATAATCTTTTTAACCTGGCTACATGGACAGATTGATCATGATGATAATCTTTTTAACCTGGCTACATGGACAGATTGATCATGATGATAATCTTTTTAACCTGGCTACATGGACAGATTGATCATGATGATAATCTTTTTAACCTGGCTACATGGACAGATTGATCATGATGATAATCTTTTTAACCTGGCTACATGGACAGATTGACATGGACAGATTGACATGATGATAATCTTTTTAACCTGGCTACATGGACAGATTGATCATGATGATAATCTTTTTAACCTGGCTACATGGACAGATTGATCATGATGATAATCTTTTTAACCTGGCTACATGGACAGACTGATCATGATGATAATCTTTTTAACCTGGCTACATGGACAGACTGATCATGATGATAATCTTTTTAACCTGGCTACATGGACAGACTGATCATGATGATAATCTTTTTAACCTGGCTACATGGACAGACTGATCATGATGATAATCTTTTTAACCTGGCTACATGGACAGATTGATCATGATAATCTTTTTAACCTGGCTACATGGACAGATTGATCATGATAATCTTTTTAACCTGGCTACATGGACAGATTGATCATGATAATCTTTTTAACCTGGCTACATGGACAGATTGATCATGATGATAATCTTTTTAACCTGGCTACATGGACAGATTGATCATGATGATAATCTTTTTAACCTGGCTACATGGACAGACTGATCATGATGATAATCTTTTTAACCTGGCTACATGGACAGATTGATCATGATGATAATCTTTTTAACCTGGCTACATGGACAGATTGATCATGATAATCTTTTTAACCTGGCTACATGGACAGATTGATCATGATAATCTTTTTAACCTGGCTACATGGACAGATTGATCATGATAATCTTTTTAACCTGGCTACATGGACAGATTGATCATGATGATAATCTTTTTAACCTGGCTACATGGACAGATTGATCATGATAATCTTTTTAACCTGGCTACATGGACAGATTGATCATGATAATCTTTTTAACCTGGCTACATGGACAGATTGATCATGACGATAATCTTTTTAACCTGGCTACATGGACAGATTGATCATGATAATCTTTTTAACCTGGCTACATGGACAGATTGATCATGATGATAATCTTTTTAACCTGGCTACATGGATAGATCGATCATGATAAACTTTTTAACCTGGCTACATGGACAGATTGATCATGATGATAATCTTTTTAACCTGGCTACATGGACAGATTGATCATGATGATAATCTGATCTGTCCAGATTTAAGTAATCAAAGTGGACACAATTAGCATGCTAGATCAATAAATTAAGTGAGGAAAGTTTCACAGGTGGAACTCTAGTGTATGACTTGGTTGTAAATAACGATATCCCAGAGGGATACATACTTATATATGAAATTTTAGAAAGATCTAAATGGCAGCACATTGGAAAATTTTGTTGTCATATGTTTTGGCCATTTTATTTTTGCTAATTTGTCCCACAATCACAAAGGCACAAGGGACGAAGGGGAACCTACATACAGAATTTGAGACAGATCTCTAAAAATGGCAATAAGAAGAATTGTTTATAGACAGAGTAAAGACAAAGGCCATTTAAAAAGCTAACAAAACAGTGGATAAAACTCACCATTTTACAAGCGGAGCATTTCTTCTCTGCATATAATTCTCCACAAGTACAACAAATATCCTCAGCATCAAATGTCATGCGATGACCATTGATACCTTGTGACAGTACTGACAGAGCAGTTGGGCTGTCTCCCTGTCAATAAAGAATGATCACAGTTTATATATAAAAGAAGTTGATGGCAGTAAGAATTAGATGAAAGTGAAATGAAGCCTATGTATAAGAATGAAGACTTATATTCACTTGTTCATATATGACGCCCTCATTTCCGTGACTTCACATGGCATGATAAGATAGACAGTATTTGAACCTCTAAAAGCAGTCAGATCTAAATTTTATCTCTGCTGTTTGTCAAGATCACTTTCGCTCTCTGCTGACATCCTTGATACTTCAATGGTCGAGATCACTTTCACTCTCTGCACCACTAGAACATTTCATCATAAAATTGAAGGTTCTATGTGTGACATCTTGTGGGTAAGACAAGCAGATTAAATTGATCTGTTGATGGACACCAAATGAATCTCGATGTCGCCAGATGGCATGTTGTGCTGGGTTTTAAGTTGGGTGTCACTCCTTTGTAATCTTCAAAGTTGCGCATCATTGTGTGATTGGTCAGTTTTTTCTCCTTAAACTATCTGTAGACCAATCAAATTACTTTGCTAATGCTGTCATTTTTTTCATGAAATGTTCCAGGGGTGCAGAGAGCGATAGTGAGTATAACCCCTAGAGTATTGGGGATAAAGTGCTGACAGGTTTAATTCCCAACATTGGTGTTTGCCTGTGCCGGTTCTCTAACTATTTATATCATTTACCTTACAGCTCAACTTTTATACAAACACAAAACAGAATCTGCAATAAGTGCAATCATTTCTCAGTGTTGTACTTTCAGTATAAAAGTAAGATTACTGATGAAATATGTACAGGATACACTAGAATAAGTCTCACCACTTTTACTGAAGCCAGTGTTCTGACAAGCTGTTGTAGAAGTTGAGAATCTGAATATGGGAACTCCCTAAGTGACTGTCGGATCAATAGCTCCTGTTTCTCGGGAAAACCATCCAAGTCTCGTCCCTTTACTAACCTTTAATAACAACAAGAAGCCAAATTGTAAAGATACTAAACAGAACACATAAACATATACTTTTTGTGAGCTAATCATTTGAAAAAGAAGACAGTTTTGTATGTCTATATCAGTAGCATTATAAACAAGGACAAGCAAGTTATCAAATGGAAGATTTTCTTAGGACATGAGGTAAAGTGATCCCTCAAATTTTCAGACCACGCAAAAGCATTACTTTAAAAAAAACAGTCATTACACAGTCTGATTTCTTTTCCATACCAGACTCTTAAAATTACACACGACACATGTTATAAATTGCACATGATACACGTTATAAATAACACACAACACAGGTTATAAATTACTCATGATTCAAGTTATAAATTACACACAACACAGGTTATAAAGTATAAATGATAAAGGTTATAAATTACAAACGTTGAAGGTTATAAATAACAAATGATATAAATACACAAGATACAGGTTACTAACTACACTCGACACAAGTTATGAATTACACACGATTCAGGTTATAAATTACACATGTTACAGCTTATAAATCACACAAGATAATGTAAATTACAAATAACACATGCTATAAATACACATGATACAGATTACAAATTACACATGTTAAGGTTATAACTTACACATGATACTGTTTATAAATTATACATGATACAACTTTGAACATTTCTCTCCATATGACCCTTTTACCTTTTGATCCAATTGTCTAATGACTGATGCTCTTGATAAGACTTGGCAGCATTTTTCAGGACGACAGCAAAATAGTGTGTTTTCATTGCCATGCCATCCTCTGTGTCTCGTGCCTTCATATACTTCTCACACAGGTGGTCCAACACCTTAACAACGTTTGAGGATTTCTCCAACAAACACGTGTAGTCTTGTATGATCAATGATATCTGTGGATCACAATGAAGACAACTTTACAGAATAACTGATTTAACATCCTACAACACTTTGTTTTATTTCCTCAAACCAATCCTTCTAAAACCTAATCACTTCCTGAAACTGAACCAAATGGTGATACATGAAATGTCCTCTTCATTATAATAATGAAAAACTTCCAAATACTGATCCCTCTAAACGCCAAAAACCAACTGCGTATTGTATACGAAATTATTACACTGAAGGAAATTACTTCTAAAAAATTGCACAGAAAATTTGAGCAATGAAGAGTTAAGTTCGTACAGGAGGACCATGAATTCAAATCCTCATGTGCACATGTGTTCCAGGTAGACTTTATATACCATACCTACCCAAACGAAGAGATTACAATTAGCATTGCACATATTTATTATCGATGACAAGATGAAATCAAACCAATGAATCCATTGCTTCAGTGAAGTGAGCAAAGTCAAACATTGTGAAAATAAGTTTTTGTAAGGAGCTAGAAAGCTGCAGTTTCACATCTGATTTTTTAGGACTTACAGAATATGTTATTTTAACATGTATGGAAAGGAAAAAAATGCATGTGTTGTTTTAAATTTCATTATTCTGATCAAACAAAACACCAGTTCATCAAATATATTGGTACTAAACACTTCCTGAATTTTGCACGGTTAATGCAGAAATATTTTCCCCATGGAAATAACATAGTCATATACCTCAAAATAACTTAAAACTTCAAATCCAGAAATGTACATTTACCTTGACAGGATTTAAGTTTGACTGGTTGATCAATTTCAACACAGCAACTTCTAGGTCTGGAGTAAGCTTGGGTTCTTTCTCAAGTCCTGAAAATTGTTCAATTGTTTGACATTTCAATCAAAGCATCATTTAAAAAAAATTTGATATCACTTATTTTATTACAAAACAGAAATAAACTGAAAGCTGAAGTAATAGATATCCATAGCAATTTCATTTCAACCACAAAATTTCAGAAAAGCTCAAAAAATTACCTTCAGTTCTAGTTGAAAGTACACCACTTTTGCATTATAAGAGATACCCATATGGAAATTGCGAGATAAAGAGTGAAGAATACATCACATACTGGGAGACACAATGAAGAATAAGTCCTGTACTAGGAGACACTGTGAAAAATATGTCCTGTACTATGTAGCAAAGTGAATAATATGTGATGTACTGGGAGACACTGTAAAGAATAAATCCCATACTGGCCAACAAAGTGAAGAATATGTCCCATGCTGGGAGACACAGTTAAGTATATGTTCTGTGCTGGATGACACACTGAAGAATATGTCCTGAACTGGGTGACAAAAACCAAAAGTGAGGGACAGATTGCAAACCTAGAACTGAATAAATCAATAATAATATGATCTAGTCCCCTGTAACATTAAGTACAAAGAGAACACTGAGAGATTACTTACCCTGAGGCTTAGTGTAGCGTTTGAGGTTATCCCGACTAAAGTAAGATTTGATTACCGTGACACACTTTTGCTGACCTGTACAAATATAAAATATTTTTTAAAGAAAAAGATTGCAAAATGGATCCTGCCATCATTTGATCTATAATTGTTCTTTAAAAGTCGGATCTTTTCTCTTCTTTCCTCTATTTTTACTCCTAATCATACAAAATTCTAAAATTCCACTAAGTGGTAATAATGTTTAATTACGAAATCTAGGATGATCACTAGTCATTTTTGTTTATCTAATCAGTCCCACTATAAAAAAAGGAAACAACTAGGAACCAAGAGCAGTTTACACATGAAATTTGAGAAGGATCCAGTACTTCTCAATAAATAACAAACAATAAAAACTTTTATTTTAAAATCCAAGATGGCCATCTGTCAGCTATTTTGTTTTTTCTGATCAGTCCAAAAAACAAGCATAACTAGGGCAATACAATATCTTGATGATATTTTAAAAACCAATTTACAGCAGATGCTGCTTAAACTGTTGTTGGTTTAATAGGATAAGCAAAGTGGCAAGCAATGTGGTGACCATAGAGTTGTGAGTAGAAGTATTGCAAGTGTACATCTATAAACTTCAGGAAAGTAAACAATACCAGTTCTCTAATTCATTCAAACAATTGACTTATTTAAGAATATTCTTTGATGCTGTAGTGTCTTTATAGTTTTAAAAGCAGAAAATCATTGTTGCCTTTATTGATGGTGCTTCATTTGTATGTAATGTCAGTAACAAGAGAAACTCTGCATGCATTTAGGTACTGTTATTGAAAATTGTCTTGTTTAGTCTTCACATCTTGAACCAAGTCTAAATGTGAACTATCTCTTTGCCAATCTATTGTATACATCTCTACCATTGGAAGATCTCTACTGATAAACCAATAGCTACACAGAGAGTTTAATAGTTAATAACCTTACCTACAAAGCCTGCCATCTGACATGCTGTTCTGCCCACTGAGTTGGTATGGTCCACATTAGCTCCTGCCTCTAACATCAGATGAGTCGTATCTGGATGACCTGTTCAAATCATCACAATATATGCTTACTGGTCAAAATAACTAAATAACAAGACTTTAAAACAATGTTGTACAACAATGAAAACACATAATCGTGCTTCCTTACTTCTAACCTAGACATTTAAAACATCCAGCCAAAGTATCTGAATAAACTGATCTATCATTCATCATCATGTAATATGATTATATTGTGCAGAAATTTTATTGAGTAGCAAGATTTGGAATACTTTTACCATTAACTGTGAGATACCTGAGAGGGCAGAAAACATGAGAGCTGTGTAGCCATTCTCATGATAGTTAGAATTAACATCTGCTCCGTGAGCCAGGAGTAGCTGACACAGTTCCGTCTTCCCTCGAAAGGCGGCATGCTGTAGTGGGGTCATCCCAGTCTGTAAATAACACAGGAAGTTTTTAATGAGTTCATCCCAGTTAGTAAATAATACAGCAAGTTTTCAATGAGTTCATCCCAGTCAGTAAATAATACAGCAAGTTTTTAATGAGTTCATTGCAGTCTGTAAATAACATGGTAAGTTTAACATGTGATCATCACTTTTAGTAAATTATACAGCTAGTTTATTAAAAGGTCATTCCAGTCCATAAATCATACAAGTTTTTCATAGGGTCAAATCAGTGTGTAAATGATATAATCAATTCAATTATTGGATCATACCGGTATTTTGGTATTTGCTGGTGGATATACTTGAAGTCTTATTTCAAAATAAAGCAAACTTACATCATCCAAGAAGTCAACATTCTTCACAGTGTTCTCTTTTAAAAGGAGCTTAACTTCATCTGCTTTGCCTAAAATAAAACAAAATTATCTATTTACAATATCAATTTGACTAATAATCATTATTCATACCAGACAAAAGAAGAAATATTTTAAGCTGTAAAAACTCTGAGCACCATGACCAGATGTCTCTCGAAAATGCAAGACTATTATGCATATATGGGAGTGTGCCCTACTCACCCTGTAAACAATCAGTGGAGAAATTATCTGGGGGAAAACCATACAAATGTGTGTATAATGCCCAAACTAGCCTATGATATGACAATTGGAGTATGGATTTGTTACTAAAAAGAGCTGAAATCACTTTAAACTTAGCTTTTACAAATCATGTTTAGTCAGTCATGACACTTAATACAACTGGTAAAATAAAATTCATTTGCATGTAGGAAAATATCCAAAATAGATGCAGTACTTCTAGGCTATGTTACAATAGTACAGTTACTATGGCATCAACTGTCACATGAAGTTTCTTCTTAGCTGGCACTTTCAGTAAACATTTTTTAGTCACAAAATATTTAGCCTCAACTAGTGGAAATTATCCTCTTTAGTCACGCAGTAAAGTTTCTGGCTAAAGACCATTCTAAACCTGCCAGGGACAGGATGTTTTTAATATCCTTCCCATTACAAATTTGGTGCTGTTAACCAGTCCAAGATTAGAAGCTACAAGAGACTGAGACGCATACTTGGAGATTTTGGACTTGGATTGTTGTTGTCTTTAGAGTTGAAGACTTCTTCAATCTTGAAGGAGAGAGTAGTATAGAAGTTGAGAGAAGCGATCGCCTTACCAGCCTCAGCTAGTAGGAATTTCTCTATAGTCGAGCCGTAGAGTGTCAAGTTTGAGACCGAAGGGTCGCTAGTTCGAACCCCAGCGGTGGCAGTGTGTTTTTTTCATTACTCCTTCATATTACAATTACAGGCAAAATGCGTTTATTTTCATTATACACGTGAAAGACTTAAACTTTCAGTGACGTTACATCATCTTAAAGTAGATTTTTGCATTGCTGTTTTTATACATCTCCAAAAAATCTGTTATTATGACAATAATGATGTTCATCTCCGATATTAACGGTGATGCTGGTCAACTGATGAAAACGGACAGAAAACGAAAATATCCAACAAAAAGGAATGTTCCGGTACGACAGCTTTTGTGGGTATAAAGGTTGGAGTAAATCTCTAAATGCTTATAGGCACGGTTTCATTATACGGTGGCATGGAATATTCTCGAACTACTATATAATCAGTTTTTACCTTGCATGTGTCCGTCAAAACTGGTAACTAAATCATATTATCGTGTCACATAATATATTGCAAGGTTCTTCGATAGAAAAATTAAACAAGGAATACAGTGAAAATGTTTCATTTTACTTCTCAGTCACTAACTGAAATTAAACTCACCTTGTGTCACAGCATCGTGAATTTTTTTCTCTAGTTCAGTGAAATTTCCCTTCTTAGGCGCCATTTTGTTATGATTAATCTCAAACGAAAACAATAAATTTAATACGACGCTTTTTTCTCTTTCCTGAACTTTCTAATCCTAATCGAGTTTCTTAAGTCAATTTATACACTCAGTTTGTCTCTTATTTTCGATCAAGAAAGAAAGAAAAATGTTTAGCATTTTTCCGTCCTGGATACGAGAGTTAATGAGCAGCGGACGAGTTCATTTATGTGAAAAGTGAGAACAGAACCAACAATGCGTTAGAGTATGTCAGTTACAAAGACAATAAACAGAACTCGTTATATATGAATTCATTATTTTAATGCTAATAAAAATAAATAAAAGGTTATTGTCTAAACACTTAAATATTTCCAGCATGATGATGTTTGTATTTTTAACTGAACAGACCACTAACCTAATGAACAAGTAAGAAAATCCGGAGGAATGGCGGCGGTTCGATAGTAAATGCGGCAAGGTGTGAAAGACTTTTTCCATTTTATTGTGATCGGTCCATTCATGTTAACCTCAAACAAATGAACTGATAATTGCATGGATTGCAGTGTGAACTGCGATTGCTGTAAACCAAATGGCATTGTCATTCAAAGTATGGTTTGTCCATTCTAGTATCTTACAGCTTATGCAGTAGGACAACCACCCACAGGCTACTGTACACGTCTCCAATAATGTTTGTTCTTTGCAAAACGTGCAGCTAAGGTCAAATTACAACAGTTTATAAGTATATGGTTATTTTATTATTCTTGTTGAACATCAGTTGTTTAAAAATGTGATTACATTTTAGGTGCTCCGTACACCGTAAATTCCGTCTATTAAGGTTGTTTATAGGCGAGTTACTCAATTGAAGCTTACCTATAGTACAGTAAAACAGTTCCGAAAAGAAATGTGTCCATCAAATTGACAAGGCTTCTAAATCTGCATAGATGGCAACGTCGTTAGAGCTACAGTAAACTTGAGCTTTTGTTATTGTAGCTTTAAACTCTTTGCACATTTGGACAAATGTATCCTTTGTCAGATGGTTCAGACTTTCTGCGATAATAATGGCTGCGACCAAGACAAAAGTTATATTGCAGATCAGAACCATTTGAACTAATGTGTCTAGTTGTTGTTGAAAGTTTTTTTTGTTGTGAATATATATATATTTGTTGAGTGCCCAAGGGATGGTCAGTTTTGGTTATGGATCAGACAAAGTATTTAGCATGAATTAGAGCATAACAACAAAAAGAAAAAGTTTGAAGAAGAGATGCACCCAACAAAGAAATATCACGAAAGACTATGTGACAAAAGATTAATTTTGGAAAGATGCAATTAAAACTTGTGTCATTTCAGCAGTCTTATTTATCCATAGAGTTGATGAATGATGAAATGTCTTGGTATTTACCTACATGCTCTTTTTGGTGAAGATATACTTAAACTGCTGAAGAATCTAGCATTCTACTACTTCTGGTTCAACCCAAGGGCTGCAGTGCAATATAGCCAACACAAACATTTCACTTCAAACAAAATGCTTTATAAATTCAGTCGCCTACCTTTCTTTTTTATTTTTTGCAAGTACACATGAAATTATTTAGGTATAGAATGTGATATTACCGCAGCTTACAGTTTATAAAGAACATGTATATTTATACTAGCTTTTTAACATGTAAATATGGCAGCTCTCATGCCCAGTAACATTACGAGTGTTCAAGCATGAACATAAACGCAATTGAATCGGTAAGAGGATTTACAGGATTGGGTAGGATTATGTCTTGTGCAAGAAATTGATTCATTCTTACTTAATTATAGAAGAGGAAGAAGATGACTGTGACCAGTGGATACAAGCCCAGATGTTTTCTGGACGTAGAAATAGGTGGCCAATCTGGTAAGTAAAAACAGAAATTCAGTCGGTTGAGAACATCAAATTTCTATACACTTAGCCAGATATTTCATAAGTTGATAAATGTGTAAACTACATCTAAGTTCTATAGAATGCCTTTTCCTTAATCCAAAAACATAGATTTATGTTAATTATTTTGTGTTGGATTTTTTCTTTTCTTTTTTTTTTTTGTTTCATTTTGTTAATCAAATGTATGTTCAACAATGCAAGTGAAATAATTGAAAATGTAAGTGGATAGGTAAATCATATCATAATGTGAAATGTAACTGAGTTTCAATTTTGTTTGCAGTGTTTTATATTTGTGTAATTTTGTCATTTCTTTCAAGCCTCAGTTAAACTTCAGGTAGATTACAATCTTTTGTTTTCCAGTGGGACGGATCATAGTTGAGCTATTCTCTGATGTTACCCCAAAGACATGTGAAAACTTTCGTGCATTATGCACAGGTAAATTATTATTCAAGAATTTGCATTATGTTGTATGAAGCTAGTTTGTATGGAAGTGAGAAATTCAGAATAGAAGTGATTCCATTAATTTAGTTTAATTTAAAGCATACTGATCACATAAAATTGTCTCGGTCATTAATTTTTTTTATGCTTATCTTTAGGTGAAAATGTGACACTACAAAAGAGTCCTAGCAAACATGTCTGATTATGATTGATGAAATATTACTTTTGATAGGAAATATCAGATATTAAAGTAATACTATGAAATGTGAGGATTTTAAAATGACTGAGAGCTTACCTTTTTTTCACAGGAGAAAAGGGGGTTACCCAGAAAACGGAACAATCCCTCCATTACAAAGGTGCTCCTTTCCATCGTGTAGTGAAAGATTTTATGATTCAAGGTGGAGATTTCACCAAAGGTTGGTAGAATTTAGGAATATACATTACTTAGAAGAGATCTATAAAACAAGTGTTTTATAAAATTGTTTGTTTTATTAGTATAAAGTGTAATATGAAAGTGCCTTTCTTATTAATAGAATGGTTATATCAATGGTATGATCGCTAACATTTAGATATAATGTAGATTGATTAAGATTGTCACTTTGTCAGATTCAGTTAAAATGCATGAATTTTATTAAATGTCTTCTTTCTGTTGTTTAGGTGATGGAACTGGGGGCGAGTCAATTTATGGAGGGATGTTCCCAGGTAAGTTCATCAGATACTTGAGTGTACTTGTAACGAGGGTATAATAGAAATTCTCAAAACACAACCAGTGGAAGACTTAAGCATGGGATTTTGTTGACTACACTTTTCCCTTCATCAGACAAATGACCAGTGTGAAGTATAGTAACACTGATGTATGGTGCGAGGAGTGAGGATTATGATTTTCAAGTCTTGGTTGAAGTTTTGAGTTCGTAACAGTTCTTGATTTCAGTTTCCAAACATTATTTTAATTTTGGATGGCTATACCATATGAAAAATGCATTGGCGATAATGATTCAAGTTAATAAAGGTGTTAAGTTCACTTAGTGTAAAAGAACCCTGAATTAAACACTTAAATCCTAAAGTCATCATTTAGTTGTTGATTATATATTTCAAATGATTATGTTTTCCTTTTTTTTCCAGATGAAAATTTTATTTTAAAAAATGAAAAAGAATTTCTCCTTTGCATGGCAAATCGTGGAAAGGATACAAATAGTTCACAGTTCTTCATGTAAGTATTTTGTCTGAGGGAAGTCAACATGGTAGTACATCCTTTGGTTCGATTCAAAAGCAGATGAACCTTCTTTACTTTCCACGATGGTGTAAGGATCTCCTGTCACATGTAAACCCTCTCGCTTAGGTCATTGACCTTTGTATCCCAAATATTTTTTTCGTTGTTTCTTACCAAAGATATTCCTGATTCAACAGTTATTTGGAATGTTCAGAATGTGATAACTTGTCAATGGGGTTAAATTATAAAGTTAAACTTAAGATCTAAATAAACCTAAGGTATGTTGTTTCATCTTTTGAAATAATGTCAGATATATTATGAAATGACCTATCTTGGCTGTCAAGATGACATCCATACAACATATAAAACAGTTGGCTATTGAGTCCTTCTAAAACTGTGAGAAGAAAATTACTGAGGAATTTTTTCAAACCATATAACCTTGTATTTCTACTATGAAATATCATTGTGGAATGTTGTATATTTTAAACAAGTAAAAAAAGGGGGGGCTATTAAAGATATGAAAGATTATGAAATATAAATTTAGTGACATTAAGTTTTCATTTTGTATTACAAATTTGCAAAATTTGGAGTGTATAAAGTAACACATAACTAAAAATGAATTATGGTGAGTTTCCTTGATTAAAATCAAATATAAAAATTAAAATGTCAGTTTATGATTTAAACACGAAATTTGCACATTATCACAATTTAACAACATCTATATGTGAAGAAACACTGTTTAAAGATAATTTCTGATGCATGAAGCTTCGGTTTGTAAGCCATACTGTTTATGAGGGGTAATACAGTTTTAATCGTCTATATGATCAAAGCTTGGTAATTATTTACTCAAATTGAACTGAAATTTGTATACTTACAGGTGATTACAGGGAAATAATTTCAGAACAAACCTGAAAATTGTTTGATTTAACCTGATCACCCTTATTACTGATAAAACACGGAGTAATGTAAAGTTCAGTATCCTAACTGTAGCCACATGCTATTTTCAGTAGTACTGGTTGCTGCACCAAACTGAAAGAAAAATAGTGCAAAATGCTATTTAGTCCCTAAAAAACAATTTCTTTAAATAATATGTTATAGCACTAAACATGATAGGGTCTACTGAATATAAACAGGCTGTCTGATAAAATGGTATCATTTACTTAACATTTAGGAAATGGTCTTCATTTCAGAGCTGTTTTTTGCAGGAAAGGCTGAGGACGGATGATTGCAGTTATACAAGACTTTAAATTCTTTCAAAATAAATGTTGAATTGGAACATATACATTATAAATGTAAATGGATCAATATTATGTTTGGTTTTATAGAATCCATTTATATGGAAATGGCTTCAGTTATTGGATCTGGCATTGATTATTAATTATCCCATATTAACTTTTGATCATCATGATAAGTGTACACTTTTGAGTCAACTGTCCAATCCTTGTTTTCTTTGAACTACATTATGGAAATTACAAGTGCCAATATATGAATATTTTTGTGTTATTTCTGTTACATTTTTCCTGAAATAGCTGAAAATCAGGAAAAAATAAAATGTCTAACAAAATTTAGTTACAGCTGTTCTGTAGTGTACTTTAATCTTGGCAAGGACTGGACCTGTTGTTCTCAGGATTGTGACGTAGATGCATATACAGTATCAGTGTACATACAAGCTGATACAATACAATACTTGATTTTGACTATACACTGATATGTTTTGTCGCATTTTACATTATGAACAGAAACCTCTGCGACGTCTGCAAGTATCCAGGTAACACACATGCCTCACCATGACAAGTCCATAAAGAGTCGCCCACAAATTCCCTAGGCAGGCGTCTGTTCAGACTTGAATATTTCATCTCTCTCAACTCTGCTGCTTTTTATGAACTTTCTTGCTCGAGATAGATGCTGTAATTTTTTTTTTTACAAGTCTATTAGTTTGTTTAAAAAAAATTGCGATATGAATTTCACCTTTAGAAAGAAAAAAGAAAAAAAAAAGTCCTGTCCAATTTAGTGAAAAGAAAATGACCTACTTTACAGTCAACACTATTTTTGCAGCTTACTCATTATTTCATATTTTTCGATTTTCCAACCAACAAAGTTTTCAAAAAAATTATTATTGTTTCATTCAGTTGAAATTTCATCTTCCAAGAGATAGGATTAAGTGTGTTAAAAATACTCAATACTTTCAAGAATAAATGCATCTTTCATTTATTTAATTTTTTTTTCTTTTTTTTTTAAGGTTATTTTACTGATAAATCCTCACAATTCATGTGGCACTGATTTGTTAACAGATAAAAATAGGAAGTATGACTTAAATTGATGTTCATGGCAATTATACCAAGGCATACTTTCTCTGAATGATGAAAAGTATTTATCTTATTTAAAAAATGTGTAATAGCTTGCAGATTGAAGTTTTAAGTATAATTATTGAGATGAGAGATCTACAGTGGCCTGGTTAATCCCTGATTTCTTGTAGGACAGCGTTGATCAAAGTCACGCTTTCTAACAGTGTTTCTTTCTCTTTCATATCACTTCTTCATTCCCCACAATAGAACAACAAGACCAGCTCCACACTTAGATGGGTAAGTAGAAAAGTTTTGAAGATGAGCTGATATGAGAAGGGTTACTGCATGTGTGAAATTGACTTCAGACAAAAAGTAATCGAACTTTGTTTAGAAATATTCCTTCATGCACTAAGTTTATGTGAAGTACTTAACTCATTGGTTAAAATGTAGAAGAACTGTTAATATACTTCACTTATTACATTTTGTACTGAAATGTAAATATTTTATTGGCAAAAATACATGAAAGAAATTCTTACAACTTATGGACTCTTCTCCAACTTTCGTACTTACGTCTGAAAGGATTACAGAGTAGCTGTTTGGGTTTTATGACTCAATATCAATGCGGATTGTGATTTTAATATTTCAGAGTTCATGTTGTGTTCGGTCAAGTGATCCAAGGTCAGGAGATAGTCCGTCTCATAGAAAATCAAGAGACGGATGCAAAAAGTCGACCTCTCAAAGAGGTGTGCATTGCCAATTGTGGGGAATTGGTCCTGCAAATGAAGTCCAAAGGTTTGTTTATTTTTGTGATGTCGCAATAAGTAGGAATGATCAGATAGAAAAATTCCTTCCATGATTTTATAATCAGTAATAAAAAATAGTTATTTTAGAATAAGAGCACTGATCAAAAACTGATTAGCTCAACAGAGTAACTGGAAAATGTATTTGACCTATTTGCTGAACTATTTGACTTCACAGTGTTGAGAAACCCAAGTTGAATATAACAATATAAAAAGGGCGAAAAATTGGGACCAAGGGAAATATTAAAGTCATCAGCAATATTGGATTTTAAACAAGTTCAACATAAGCAAATTTGACTCATGTAGACTATACAATAGTACTACAACAGTTTTCTTTGAAATTCAGGAAAGAAGAAGAAGAAAGTTTCAGAATCCGAGTCAGACTCTGCGTCAGAATCAGGGTCAGAATCAGGTTCAGCCAGTGATGGAGATGTTAAAAAACGCAAACGTAGAAAGAAACAAAAGAAAAAAGATTCCAAACGGAAAAAGAAGGACAAGAAGAAGAAGAAAGATAAAGAGGAAAAGTAGGCAGTTTTATATAGATTCAGCTGACCTTTTCTGTGTTTGAAGAAAAATTTGGTTATCATAAGTAGTGTTATTTAGTGAAAATTTAACATGTGTCATTTGTAATGGGGAATCTAGATGGTTACTCACTTTGGAGAGAAATACGAGTTGGAATGTTAAGGTCAGATAATATACAAAATTTTTGTAGCATAAGTGATGATCCTTGATGAAATGTTTAACCTTTGACCTTTGATAGAGAAGAAGAGGAGGGTACTAAAGAACCAGAGATAACTACAGTCTTTGCTTCAATTAGACCTGATGAAATTCCTGATGTGCCATCTCAGAAGTTCCTGATGAGGGAAAACCCTAGCAAAGATCAGGATGAGTAAGGAGACATAATTAGGTGTTTTAGTATTTGATTAGATTTTGTTGAGTAGTTAAAATTCATTACCATCTTCTGAAAAAAGTATTGTAAAATTTAATGGAAAAAATATTAACTATCTGCTTTAAACGAATGTGCTCCGCAGGACAAAGATGTGAAAAGTGTAGTGTAGGCACATTATTCCTATTTAGAAATGAGTACTTGCTTCTGGTCACCCCGTTTCTGGTATTATGCCACTCGGATAGTTTAAGCTTTTCAGACAAGTAGTCCCATCATCTGAGGTCACATTCAACATGTGTCATTAAACTGTTACAAAGATGCACAATTCCTAAGAAACATTTGAATACAATAATTCCACTGTTATATTTTTGGCCCACCATTATCAGATGAGGAGCTGTTCAAATCACCCTTCATCCATGGTCTGCCCATCTGTCTGTAAACAATCATCCTTGTTATGACTAGGTATTTCTTGAGAAGTCATTTTGGGGCATGGAGGGGCTGTTATTACATACTTCATATGAAGATTCCAGTCTGTCCTTAGTATCCTTGCAATGTGTTAGAATCTGATCAATGAAACAAAATGGCTGACAGGCAGCCATCTTGGATTTTGACAGTTGAAGATTTTTAACGCTATTTCTTGAGAATTACTGGTGGAATATTTCTCAAACTTGATAAGTATATTCCTCATGGTACTATGTTGTAGCCGTTCAATTTTATATCTGCTCAAGGTAACAACATGGCAGACAGGAGACTGTCTTGGATTTTGATAGCTGAAGTTTGTTATCGGTGTTTTTCTGAAAGTATTGTTAGATTCCCTTGTTATCAAATGATTAAGAGGAATAGAGAAAAGAAGGGAAAAGTAGAAATAAGATCAGTCTTACATAGAACCAATAAAGATTATTGTATAGTTGGCATCCCTCTGGGTTCTCTTGTTAGTGAACATCTAGTTATTTGTTATACAATGAAATATTATAAAAATTATTTCTCAAGTGACATTGAGATTGTTTTGAACCCTTAAAGAATTGATAAGTAGAAAGAAAAAAAGGTTATATTCATGACATGTATTAAAAGCAGTTCTGTCTCTATTCTCAGAAAAGCCAAGTCACCTCCTGGCTTTGGTCAGCGGCGACCCATTGACAGGATCCCATATAGTTCCCAGATTAAAATCACACGGAGTGGACGTAGGATCAAGGGTCGTGGAACAGTAGTAAGTTTTATTAGAGTGAGGACAAAAAGTGCTAGAAACATTGTAAATACCAATGTATCCATTGTACACGTCCTAATTAACATTATGTGATATTCAATGTTCTCAATGATTACAGCGCTACAGGAGTCGTAGCCGAAGTGAAACCCCACCCCACTGGCGGCAAGCCATGCAGAAGCCACAACCAATGGATTATGGGGACAGACAAGATGAGGACCAAGGAAATCGGTGGGTCAGAGGGGATAGATTACCTCAGACACGTGGAGAACGAGGTAATCGGAGAATGTCTGATCGGGATCGTAATACTGAACAAAGAGAGTATGGTCAAGGTGAAGGTAACCCTCGATGGGGGCGGGAGGCCATAAGAAGCAGAGGTAATAGAGATGATGAGAGAACACAAGGTCGCATCCGTGACAGGCAGCCCCTTAGGGAGAGGTTCAGACAAGGTCACGAGGAAAGGTGAGGATTTACTCTATTAAACATCTCTTAAGAGACCTTCCAAACTTTCATGTTAAATTTTAAAGGAACATTTTATAGCCTCTATGAGTTTGATCAACAAATTTGGGAGATGACTATTATATCGTTTCCATCACATTTATCATTCTTCCTGATAATGTATCAAAGTCTCTTATCTTCATTTTCTCAGTTGATATAACTACTTGTTATATATGGTAAGAATCAACATCTGTATTACAGGGAAGATAAAAATGACGAGGAAGACGAAGATAATGGAAAGAAAAAACACAAGAAAGATAAAAGGTTTGTTATGTATTTTTAACATAGATATTAGTGAAGTCTGCCATCTACAGGTATCTGAAGTCTGTTGACTCAACCATAGATATTTGTTTAACCTTTTTTCTGTATTTTTCAGCAGTTTGTAGTTGACAGGCCTATTTCTTGTTGGAAAATAATTTATCCTTTCAGATTTACTTGTACTGTTCATTTGATGTCGTTCTTATACAAATATCAATTTTGTTTTAAAATTCAGTCACAAGAAACATAAAAAGCACAAGAAAACATCTAAAAGGCACAAAGACAAGAAGGGGAGTGATGATGATGAAGAAGATAGAAAAAAGACGAGACAGCCTAGTGTGTCAGATGGAGAAGGCGTGTCCCGGTCACCCTCTCCTAGATCAGGCAAGGAGACAAAATATGAGGCTGGACGTTCTGAAGTAGAGCGCAATGGTCATTCTGAAGGAGGAAGATTTAATGAGCGTAGAGATTTCAGAAGGTTTGTGTTTTGTTTTAGCTTATGAAAGAGATGTTCCTACAGTTAACCCACCTGTCTATCCTTTTTTAACCACTAACAAATCTATTTTATGACAGATATGATATAACTGTTCAAGGTCACTAGTACTTAAGATAGAAGTTCAATACCTGCTTAGTGGCTTTATTTCCTTACTGATATTAGCATCTGTTCACTGGGCAAGTGGCATTATGAACTCGCCCAGCACCACAATGTACTCTTCTGGATATGAGGATGAGTACTTTTTCTCACCCCTATATCAACAGTTGTCAATGTCACCAGCTGAATCAGAATACCTTTGATATGTTGTGTGGGTTGGGGGTCAAGATCACTGCAGTAGTATAGAAAAGGCTTGTAGTCACTGTATAGTTCAAGGTTCTACAAGCAAAGCTCTGGAAGGAGTGTGTGCCTTCATATCGAAGAATAAAAAAAAATTACATTTTCATTTGCAGATCAACTACAGACAATAGCAATAACTCAGATAGAGGAAGACATGAACGGAGGAGGTCAAGGTCACCAGAGACCAGGTCAAAACCACCAGTTCGTAGGAGGTCAGTGTCGAGAGATCGTCATCGTTCTAAATCCAAATCTCCCAGTCATAGACCATCTTCTGATTCACGTGGTCGAAGGAGACGATCTACAGACTCAGAGTCTGAAGAAGATAGCAGATCCAGATCAAAGAGGCAAAATAGACAAAGGTCAAGGTCATCAAGTTCTAGTAGAAGCAGGTCAAGGTCACGAGGCCGTTACCAGCGTGATGGTGGAAGACGAGGCAGGCGGGATGATGAAAGGCGTCCCAGGGTCATGCCAGGTATCAGGTGGGTTTGACAGTTTGATGATATTATTGAAACAAAAGTTTTTAGCTCACATGGTCTAAAGGATTGGTGAGGTTATGCCATGGTGTTGCATCCAAATTTGGTCAGAACCATCCTTGGGTGAAGGGGGAATCAATTTTGTATAAACAATGGGTCTCAGCTCCTTGAGATCGAAGATTTGTTATTTATAAATGTTTGTTTTATATACCACATTTAAAACTCCTTGACAAATTTCAACATAAGTCTTTCTTTAAAATTTGCAGGTAAAAATGTTGAAGGTTCCAAGAAATAAGTTAGAAATATTGATTGCCATGCCATATTTTACCTAATTTCTCAAACTAGTGATTGTTTCTAATTTGTAAACAGACCAGTGAGAATCAAGTCTGATAGCCCCCCTCCTACACACTGGAAACCAGGACAGAAACCTTGGAAGGTCAAACCACAGGACAGACCACTCACAACAAAGTAAGTATCACAAGTCATATTTGTATCTTTCTCTAACATAAGATAATACAGTGGAACTTCTCCAAACAGACAAGTACAGGACAAGAAGATTTGGCCGGTATAGGGAGGGTTTGGTTTGCAGAAGTGAATGGAAATAACTGTGGGCTGTAATACAAATGATTGATTCCACAAGATATTCATTGAAGTAAAAAGTTGAATGAAAAAAACCCATTGATACAGTATGTAACTGCACTCAAAAGGAAACCCGTGTATTGCCTTGATACAGTATGTAACTGCACTCAAAAGGAAGCCCGTGTATTGCCTTGATACAGTATGTAACTGCACTCAAAAGGAAGCCCGTGTATTGCCTTGATACAGTATGTAACTGCACTCAAAAGGAAACCCGTGTATTGCCTTGATACAGTATGTAACTGCACTCAAAAGGAAACCCGTGTATTGCCAGCACATGGCAAAAATTGGATGATGTTTATCAGAGTGTTTACAACCAATTCTTAACTTGACTTAAAAATCAATACGTGCATTGCTTAGCAATGTTACCACTAAGCATTGCCCATGGCCAAACTGGGATGATGATGGGTTTGTATGGAATTATGTATAACCGATATATGTTTCCATTTTGTTCATCTCAAGATATTCCATGACTCACTAAGTAGATGTGAAACTTAGTCTTTCTAGCTCTGTAGAAGTACTTAATATCACTTTATCTGTAGCCCTTAATCTCTTTGTTGAAACAGTGGATTCTTTGATCTGATTTCATCTTACCGTCGACGATAGTTATATGTAATGTAAATTGAAATCCTCCTGATATGGGTAGGTATTGCATAATAAACCTGTCTTTGACATGTATATGCCTGAGGCACAAAGCTTATGAGTCACCACAGGTGTTGGTTTCATGGTCCATTGGTCAGAACTCTTTTCTTGATCACAAATGTTTGGCTGATTTTCTGAAGTAATTTTCAGTACATTTTAATCATCATGAATACAAAATTGATTCAGTATTCAGAAGTGAGATGGATTGGTATTGGAAAGTCACTATAAGAGGACATCATTCCGTATGATACCATTTAGTTTGGTTTGAAGAGTTTTTTAGAAGGATCGGTTAGGAGAAGTTGCATGGTACAACTATAATGTTCATTAACTGACAAGTAAAATAAAAATATGGAAATATTTGTGATGTTTTAATAGTTGTTTTTAAAATACTTAGGTGAATATATGGGCTGTTTGGGCCACATGCTCATCTTATATCATTTATCAGGATAAATAGATATGATCAGGACCATGGTATTAGGCCAGTACCATGCTGGGATGAAGGGCAATCAAGTTTGTTATAATGAATGATCTTGGCTTATTTTCGAGGTCATAGGAGTTAAATATGCTAAACTACAACAACAGACTGTTATTAGTTCTGTTTAATTGAAAAATAAGCCTTCAAACTTAGAAACATTAAAAACGTTGTAAGTATGCTTATATCAGTTCTGTTCTGTCTGCCCCAATGCTAGGACTGATGGACAGGTTCTAAAACTGTTCAAAGCCCTGAAGACCTAAGGTGACCTTTAATGCCCATGGGCCTCTTGTTTATTCCTAAAATAGGATTTAATATTTTATTTATTCCTAAAATAGAATCTGGTGTTTTATTTATTCCTAAAATAGAATGTAAGGTTTTATTTATACCTAAACTAGAACCTGGTGTTTTATTTATTCCTAAAATAGAATGTAAGGTTTTATTTATACCTAAACTAGAACCTGGTGTTTTATTTATTTCTAAAATAGAATCTGATGTTTTATTTATTCCTAAACTAGAATGTAATGTTTTATTTATCCCTGAAATAGATTCTAATTTTTTATTTGTTCCAAAAATAGAATTTAAGGTTTTTTAATTCTGATAGTTTGTTTTATTTATTCTTAAACTTGAATCTAATGTTTTATTTATTTTCTAAGATATAATCTAATGTTATATTTAAACTAAGATGTATTACTTGTTTTAGGGATGTCCTGGGAGTAACTGATCTCAAAGACAAAAGTCCACAGAAATCAGGTGTCAGTTCAGGAGACAGTCAAGTGAATCAAAATCGTATCGGTTCTCCTGTCAAACTTCCTGGTCACCACCAACAGTCTGATGATAGTGATGACAGTGACCGTTCTTCCAGCCCAGGTATTGATATATCAAAAGGCCGCAGATCCAGTGGATCAGACCCGTCACGAGAAACAAGGTCCATTCACATGGAGAATGATATGAAAGGAAGATCTGAGCAGGATAGCCAGAGGAATGTTCACATTGGGAGTATGTCGGAACAACGGTCTGTCCAACTGAGCAAAATAGAGGACGACTCTTACAGAAGAGACCATGTACCGGCCAGTAAAATTCAGTATGATTTGGCTGAGCAAGAAGATCCAATCAGGGCAAGTCCTGTTAGAAAGGAATCAAAGTCCAAGCCAAGACATTCATCAGATTCTAGGTCTGAAAGTTCATATAATGCATCAGATTCTTCTGAAGATTCGGATGCTTCTGTTAAATCGGAAGAGGAACAAAGACGTACTGTTAGAAAAGTAGAGGTGAGTTAAATTAAATCACTGTGTTACAGACTGGCCTCATAAAATACTAGACTCCCCAATCTCCTGGAGAAAACATTTTCAAAGCAATTTATTGTATTCTTATTATGATACAGGAGACAAGAGGTCATTTTATCTCAAGTCAAACAGAATTTTAAATTTCCGACCACATCCAGCTCTCTCCGTATAGCCCTAATGCAGCTCACTAGCTTAAATGGGCTGCCAACTTACAAAATATTTCCTATAACAAATAACTGAAAGATTACAGCTTAATATTAATCATCATCATCATCATCATCATCATCATCATCATCATCATCATAATCATCATCATCATCATCATCATCTTTAGATGCAAGTTGTTGTGATAAATAGTGAAACTGGCATCTTCATGTTTAATGTAACAAAACCCTTAAATTCAATGTTCTTTGGCTTATAATCTTGTGTCAAAATTTTGATTACAGGAGCGCATCAAATGGCAGCCACCTCCAGACCCTGAGGTACCAGAACGGGAGGAAATTCCTCGAGTTGTTAACAAGGTAAAACAAAAAATACTTGAAGACATTTTCACAAGATTTCATAGTAAGGGGGTTATATGGTGACCTCGAGATCTCAATGTAAAGGGGTTAAATTGTAATAACAAGATCTCATAGTAAAGGGACTATATTGTAGACGTTTGGTCTCTTAGTAAGGAGGTTTATATTGTAGTCACTAGGTCTCTTAGTAAGGAGGTTATATTGTAGTCACTAGGTCTCTTAGTAAGGAGGTTATATTGTAGTCACTAGGTCTCTTAGTAAGGAGGTTATATTGTAGTCACTAGGTCTCTTAGTACAGAGGTTATATTGTAGCGGTTATATTGTAGTCATATTGTAGTCTAGGTCCCTTAGTATAGTAGAGTTATATTGTAGTCACTAGGTCTCTTAGTAAGGAGGTTATATTGTAGTCACTAGGTCCCTTAGTAAGGAGTTATATTGTAGTCACCAGGTCTCTTAGTAAGGCGGTTATATTGTAGTCACTAGGTCCCTTAGTAAGGAGTTATATTGTAGTCACTAGGTCTCTTAGTAAGGAGGTTATATTGTAGTCACTAGGTCTCTAAGTAAGGAGTTATATTGTAGTCACTTTGTACATATTTTATCTTAACTAAACTGACTTTGAGTTTTGATTATGATAATGTTGTCATTTTGGTATTTTCTTATTGTTTTTGTATATGTCAGCAACCGGAGGACGTGAACAGGACATCTGTGAGGATTCGGACTCCGCCACTACCTCCAATGGGACAAGTGGCCGAGGCTGCATCAGAGATGGCCAGGTAATTTGTAAAGTTCTTATTACATCATCAGTAAAGGATGTAAACCTTTGCTGAATAATAGATCATTCATTATAAGATTAAGTTGTTTTTTCCATGGTCCTCATTCTTCTAGTGTAAGTATCATATGAGACACCATGTAATATTAGTATCTCCCCCACTTCAATGGAACAGCTTTTTTCCAGACATAATGCAGACTGGTCTTACAGAGCAGTAGGAAATTAAATGAAAAACCATCACAGGAATATTATGATTATATGAAAGACAACTACATGATGAGTCAGATGGTATTATCTCTTTAATACTGAAAAATGTCTTTTCACAGGAAGAAAAATAGATGGGATGTGCATGCTCCAGCAGTTGTACCAGAGAGAACCATAGTGAGTGTTCCACTACCCAACAAACAACCTTCACCTTCTCGCTCTTCAAGGTCATCTTCACGGTCAAGGTCACCATCAGATTCATCAGAGAGTTCAAGGTCAAGATCACAATCTCCAACAAGCAGTTATCTCTATGGAGATAAGAAACCATTGGATCATGGTGAGACTACCCCAGTGGCTCCAGTTAAACAGGTTGAGGATTTTGCTTCACAATCTCCTATTACAAAGTCTTCTTCTAAATCTCCTGCCAAATCGGACAAAGGCAGAGGCAATCTTATACCTGTTGTCACAAACATAGAGAGTGTTGCCCTACAGGGTGGACGCTCACTGGATCTAAACATGCTCAGTCCTGGCAACATACCATTCCCCACTGAAAATATAGAAAGCAACAAAGACAAAACATCCAAAGGTTCTGAAAAGAAGAGTTCTCCAGAGGAACCACCTAAAAAAAGTCTAGATGAAAGGTTAAAAGATTTCACAGCAGGGATCAGTGGTTCTAAATCCTCACTTGCTCCTTCCAAGGACAAAAGTAGATCAAGAAGCAGGTCATCAGACACTTCACCAAAGAAGAAATCCTCTCCTAGGAGATCATCCAACAGATCTGGTAGCAGAAACCAGGATCGTAGTAAATCGCCTCATAGATCTCAGAAGAAAAGTCGGTCAAGGTCTCGAGGAAAAAGCTATTCCAAATCACCAATTCGGTCAAGAAGGCGAACTTCCAAGTCACCTATTCGCTTGAGGAGAAGAAGTCATTCAAAGTCCCCAAGACGTTCACGTGGGAAAAGCAGATCAAAGTCCCCTTATCGTAGAGGAAGAAGCCGTTCACGATCTCCACAGCGAAGAAGGATTTCCCCCGCAAGGTATTCACCTGTACCACCAAGAAGGAGGTCTCGCAGTCCCCGTAGAAGGTCAAGGTCACCTAGAAGGTCAAGATCAAGAAGGCGATCCCCATCTCCCAGAAGAAGGTCTAGGTCGCCAAGACGTCGTTCACGTTCAAGGTCATTAAGAAGGAGGTCTGTGTCACCACGAAGACGAAGTTTATCCAATCGCAGGAGGTCATCGGTTCGAAGGAGACGATCGAGGTCCAGGTCATCTAGGAGAAGATCACCAAGGAGGCGTAGTATCTCTCCTAGACGTCGTAGTCGATCAAGGTCTAGGTATGTTGCTTTGAGAATTAACTGTTAAAAGTAGATTTTTTTTTTTTGAAAATAATTTCAATACATAAGTCTGACTTGTTCAAATTAAAGCTTGTTTCCTGTTCCAAATGGAAAGGTCATTTTGAATTTGTTACATTTTTGAAAAAATGAAATTGATTAGGGTAGATGCAACATGCTAACATATATTTTACATTTTGTTGGCCAGACTTTATGTTGGTCTTTGTTTGATCCCACTATTATCATAACAAGCTGTTAGAGAATGTTATAAAAACCCGCCACCAATTACAAACTATCCCATTTACCAGTGCAACTACATAGGCTTGTTTGAAGCAAGATGATATATAATCAAAAGTCTATTGGGAATGATCAAATTATGTCAAGATTTGTTGTGTTCTCTGTACACTAATAATGTGTGTTAAAATGAATCTCTAAACTGGTGTTGCAGGAGACGTTCTCCACCTAGACGCAAACGAAGTCCTTCCAGGGATAGACGAAGGAGGTAATGCATTTCGCTGGCACTGTTCAAGTTTCTTAATTTTTGCTAATTTTGCAATAAGATTGCATGGTAAACATGGAAGTGTTGAATTAAGATTGAGAAAGAATTACATTATGTATCTACAGTTCCTTGACTTCATTGATAAAAATATGATATTGCTAAAACTCATAATTTTGGTTTCAATACAAATGTTGAAATAAATCTGTTATGTATTTTGGTCCTGTCCCCGACTCACAAAAAATTGTCTACTCGGATTCTGTTAAACAATCACATGTAACATAACACTACTAGTTCTGTATCTAAAGATTAAAGTTATTGTGAAGCATTGAAAAACATAACTACCTTCATTGTTATGTTGAGTGTATGAATTGGTTGAAGCTCCGAGATCATCGTTTTACAAAAAGTGTGTAAAAATTCTGGGTAGAATTTAAATTAACAAACTATACTGAATGTATTTACGTCATTTTGGTTAGCCCAATTTTTAATCAAATATCTCTCATTTCAATCATAGATTACATAGAGGTATGCAGACTGAAACAAAATCATGTGCAATTTAATATGATACAGCAATTTCATTACAGACGCAGCAGGTCGGGGTCAGCATCATCCAGAAGTCGGAGCAGAAGTCGTAGCCGCCGTAGGAGGCGTTCCAGCAGCTCACGTAGTCGAAGCCGGAGTAGACGTCGCAGACACAGAAGCTCCAGCTCTGATAGCGACTGAATATTTAGTAGTGGATTATAGATTCAAGTCCATTGAGATTTCTTACTGCAGGAATTTTTTTATGCTTTGGAGATTTTCTCCTTGATTTTATCAATTCTTATTTTTAATAATTGATAGGGAAGACGCTGCAACCAGATTAAGGGCACATGATATTTAGAATTTTCTTCATGTAAATTTTTAATATGATTGTGGCTTGTCCAATTAAATATTTATTGCACAAAGCCAGTTTGGAGTAAAGCACAATGTACAGATATCTCATCATGATTAAAGGATTTCAGATGATTTTTTTGTTCGGTTTTAATAATCCGTTGAGACCTTTCATTATTCTGCATATTGTAAGACATCTGTTTTCAAATCCACACATGTATACATTTTGTTACAACAACTTTTATATAGCAGTGGAACTGTTTTATATAAATTATTGTTAGGTACATATCTGAGCGCTTTCTACACTGAAAAAAAGTCTCTGTATTTTGTAGTTGTGCTTATTGTAGTCTCTGTAGTTTTTGTATGAAGCTATGGTTGTTGATGGGCTAATTCATTGCTCTTATTTGCCAAAAAATATTATTTTGAAATTTTATTGCACCAAATTAAGTATGTTTACAACACTAAGGGTGTGCGTCACTATTACAGGCTTTCACTATCACTTTGTGTCATCACTCTATTGACAAGTTTTAGACACATTCCCAATGAAAATTTACTGGTCTCGCTCAATGGAGGAAAGAAAACAAAATTAATCCATTGCTTTCAATTGACGTCAATGTTGGCATGCAGACCCAAATTTGAGAAGATTTGATGAAATCAGTTTCTCTGAAGGCATATTATAAGGGCCAGTAAATTGGGTGTTTTGTTGGATTTTGGGTATATAACCAAGATTCAGACAATATAAAAGTAGGGTTTTTTTTTTTTTTTTTTGTGGATTTTGAAAATTAGGATGAACTTGTTTTATAGTTTTCCATTTTCACTTTTTATTTTGTAAACACCATCAATAAACAATGTTTCTAAATATCCGACTTTTATGATGGGTATATCAACCTATATCATTCCTTGTGATATCTTGGATGAAAACGGGGAAAGGATCTTGCTGAGGAAGGGAACCCCACATGGCTGACAGATGTCACCATACATTTTCACATCCACTTGAGGAATCCAGTCCCTGTTGTCTAAGTTAAAAGTGAATATTTTACCTCCGCATCACCTGACTATAGTGTCAGAATAGAGTGGACTGAATGAAGAAGGAATGCTAGATGTACAGATAAATTAGTTACAGCAGTAAACTTGACATAGATAATCTACAGACACAAAATTACAGATAAATTATGTACAGAGATGTTGAATTAGTAACAGCAGTGAATAAATTCCACATAGATAATCTAGACACAAAATTACAGATAAATTATATACTAAAAGGATAAAGAAACGCAGTGTGAACTTTAAACCAGAAATTAAGTATGATATCGGGCTTCATTTAAAACGAAATTCTGTATACTTACAGATAAATTAAAGCTTAAAAACTTCCAAGTCTGTATTTTGTATCTGACAATTGGTTTAGAGGTACTAACGATTAAATTGAATGGACCCATAGGATTTGGAAATTGAACCGAGTCATCAATATCTTGTGTATTATTCTGGTCATAGAGTTCATGACAGCGTTAATCCGTCTTATGTGGTCCGATGTTGGTCACGGCCCTTACTCTTCAATTAATCATGAATGCTCTTCAATCAGGTCAACTGCTCTCGAGTAGCAGGGGGTGGCTGGCGCTTTCGAACCTGTCTTTCCAACTGGTCCCAAAGATGCTCGATCGGGGACAAATCAGGGCTATATGGCGGCCAATCTAGTGGTTGAATGTTGTTGTTGGCCAGAAAGACTTGGCAAAACCTTGCTAGGTTGGGCCTAGCATTATCCTACTGGAGGGTTAGATTATGCTGCTGTAAGAAAGGGATAACATGGCGTCGGAGGATCTCATCTCTATACTTAGCTGCTGTTAAATTGCCATCAATAACAACCAATTGTGATTTTAACCCGTGTGAGATTCCTCCCCACACCATTACTGAACCGCCCCCAAACCTATCCCTCTCTACAACGCAAGCGTCTGTAAAACGTTCGCCACGACGTCGGTAGACACGTTGACGGCCGTCAGATCGATAAAGACAGAATCGAGACTCGTCCGTGAAGAAAACTTGTCTCCACTGCCTCAGTGGAAACCGTCGTGGAGCATGTGCAGCGACCCAGGCCATACGACGCTGACGTCGAGCAGGGGTAAGGTGTGGACTTACGTAGGGGCGACGTGCTCTTACACCAACTTCTCGTAATCGATTCCTTACAGTTTTTGAACTTATAGGACGCCCATGATTTCCACGAACATTAAATGCACTCTCAACAGAATTAAGGCGCCGATTACGCACATGAGAGACGACGATATAGCGATCCTGACGTGACGTTACGCGCGGACGTCCTGACCTAGGTCGATTGGTCAATCGCCCAGTTTCCCGAAGACGTCTTACAAGACGTTCTATGGTGGAAACATTAACACCAAAGTGCCTAGCAACCTGATTTTGCAGCTGTACTTGCATCAGCATCTGAATGGCCTGACCCCTCTGAACTTCTGTGAGTCGTGCCATTCTTAAAACAAATCAAATTCTCAATTAATTTTAGGGAAGCAGTTGGTCTGTATAAAGACTAACGAAGAGTGACTTGACCAACGCTGCATGAGACCAGAACAACACGGTGCACGAGATTCTTGTTTTTTCCTTCCTCCATTTACCAGAGCTGCGCACTGTACCGTGACTAAATTTTCGATACATGACAAAGTGTAACATGACCTAATCACTCAATCCACAAAGTTTCATTTTATTTGGAGAACGCGTTTTCAAAATATCGGAATAAATATTACCCTGCGTTTCTTTATCCTTTCAGTATATACAGAGATGTTGAATTAGTAACAGCAGTAAACTTGACATAGATAATCTACAGACACAAAATTACAGATAAATTATCTACAGAGATGTTGAATTAGTAACAGCAGGAAACTTGACATAGATAATCTACAGACACAAAATTACAGATAAATTATCTACAGAGATGTTGAATTAGTAACAGCAGTAAACTTGACATGTTGACACAAAATTACAGATAAATTATCTACAGAGATGTTGAATTAGTAACAGCAGTAAACTTGACATAGATAATCTACAGACACAAAATTACAGAGATATCATGATATACAGAGGTGTTGAATTAGTAACAGCAGTGAATAAACTTGACATAGATAATCTAGACATTTGCTAACGACTTTTAATGCAAGGTCCACAGATGGCTGTAACGCTGTAACTGAAACCTAGACTTCGACCACATTGAGAGTGGTTTCCGTGACCGCCATCTTGAAAATCATGATATCTCTTCATTTCTAAACTGAACTCAGTAACTTTGACGAGGTATAACAACTCAAAAGTTGTCTGGAGAGGTCTCGAGCAATATGATAAAGCAAAAATCACTTCCACAGATCTGCCACGGTGTATCCTGATGATAACAATGTTGCTAAATTATTATATAACGACATGCATGCCAAATGGAATGTTCGATTGTCATGGTGAAAGGCTATTTAGGTATCTGTTGCCATGGTAAATCCTGATCCTCCTGCAGGTGGTAATGTTCCTAAACTGTTATATAATAACATACACGTCACGTCGATCGTTCGATTGCCATGGTGAAAGGCGTTGAGGTATTCACGAGACTGGAAGTGATGGATTCGCTGGTGTGGTAGTTTATTATTGCCTATAGCGTATCAATAATTATGCAAGATGGTTTCGCAATAGGAAGGTCTCTGATATTATATTTAATTTGAAGATGATGCCTGCTATGTCATAAAATTATTTTATGGTACCAAAGATAAAACGTTGTATTACGGTTTCATTTTTTTCACAATATCTTATCTCTTATTTTAGAAAGAAGTCGCTCAGTCAAGTTGGTTCTTACATCTTTTATTGCACATCAAACCCAATTTTCTTCAAATAAACAATTACAGTTTCCATCAGAACGTAATTTGAAAAATAATAGCGAAACTTCATTATGCGACCGTAGTACGATGCTTTGCACAGATTCATCCAGAATGACTTCCTTAGGCTGATGGCTGGACCAAAATGGGTTAAATGTACAGAAATCAGGAAAAAAAACTACATTGAAATTCAGATAAGGTGGAATGATATACTTTCAGGGATGGAAGGTCATAAAAATCTTAATCAAAATGGCGAATTTCTTGACCTTAGAATCTGGCATTATCCCCCGGGGATATACGAAAGTTGGGCATCACTGTTATTAATTTCTATCAAAAATCAATATATACACTTGGCCATAAGTTAGGAACCATTAATTTCAGTTTGAAAATAGATCTTTCCTTTTTTTGAAAATAAATCTTGAACTAGTAGCAGTGTTTCCCTTTTGTGTTTGGTGCCGGACGCCACCAAGCGATACAACCAACTTAACGATGGCTAGAGTTACAACTGGGTACCCCGTACTCGAACGAAACACAAGAAGAGTATTTTTGCCACCTAAAGCAGCATTTGCTCGTGTATTCAAAAACGTCACGTCTGAAATTGACAATTACTGACAGATGGAAAGTTTCTGGAATGGTTTATGGTGGTTTAACACACAGGCAAGTAGCTGCACGAATTTGGGCATCCATTATATTATTTCTTTGTCAATGCTGCGTCTGAACCAAACCGGACATGTTGATTAGCGTCTCAGGTCTGCAAGACCTCGAACGACTACAGACTGAGAAGATAGACTTCTGTTTGGACAGGCAAGGCGAGGTCCATTCAACACTGCCACGGGCTTAAAGAGCGGTGAAATACTGCGAAATGGCTTACAGACGTTTGAACAATAGGCAACTTGGTTCTCGCCGACCAGTACAACGTCCTCTGCGGACTACATGTACATTTGTTATCACGTCTATTTAAGATTATGAATCACTCTAAGTTTCTTTTCCTATTGACTGTGTATAAGGTTAGCTAGATCTTATAAATATTCCTGTATATCCTGTGGAGTTGCCATTTAAAAAAATTTCCCAAATACCGCGATCAAAATTGAGATCGGTGTAAGATAAGGATGGTCCCTAACGAATGACCGAGTGTATGCGCTGATAGTTTGACAGTGTATGTATATTTACCCTGATTTAATTCTGGATTCTTGGAGGGAGGGGGTCGAATTGGCTGATATTTCAAAAGATGTCCTCTTCATGACTAGGAATACATTTACATCTGTCTTTGCGCATGGAGCAGAAAGT